AAATAATGTATTTAAGAATATTAACGAAGGAAAATTATTATATAATTACCTTATTCTAATATTTTAGAACGTTATAATAACTTTCGAGTGAGTTAATTATAAGAATCTTTATAGTATTAATTATTAGGAAGTATTTATTAGAATAGGAATAGAATGTAATTTACTTATAAAAAGAAGGGAAAATATGCCTTAGCCTAATTTGCCTAAGACTATATTGTTATTCCTAATTATCTTTAATATACGCTCGATCTTTACTTAATACGTTTACTTTAGCTAAAACAATAGATTTTAAATAGCTTACTTCTATTCTACAATATTTAAACGTTCGAATTATATAATTCAAGCAAACGTACTATATATTAATTAAGAACTTCTTCTGCAAAATTCGTTTTATATAAATATAGTAAAGTAAATATTTAACTTCCTAGCCTTTAAAAGTATTCCGTACTACCTTTTATTTTTTAACCGAATTGTCGGTAAATATTTACTAAAGCGGCTATTCTTTAGCGTATTATTCCCTAATTTATTTATAGATTATTAATAAGATTTTAGTAATAATATTACTATTAGCTTCTTAGGTAAGAAAGTGACTATACGGTCTATTAATATTATTTATTACGAATAAATAGTATAAAAAGGTATTAGCTAAATTAATTAGTTTTATAGGTAGTATTTATAAGCGTTAAGTAGTTGCGCCATTTTAAAGTTTTGAGTTATTTAAATAAAGCCTATAATATGCCCGGTAATAGTTTATTATCCAATTTTCAGATAGTAATAATAAATTTAATACGCTAAATATTTCCGTCGGTTGGATCGGGGGGTTACGAATTTAAGAAGTTTAATACTTAATTTATTTAAATATTTTTAGCGAAGTTTTTATTTATTCGCCGTGGATCGGGGTATTCAAATTATTATAAACGGCCTACGTTAATAATATTTTACTTTATAAGTTAACGCCTACCCGCTTTATATAATTACTTTTCGAAATTGGGATTTCGGCTATTATTACTGCGTAATTAATTATAAATAATAGAAGGAGGGAGGCTACGAATAGCCTTATAAAGTAAAAACTTCCGAATATTATTTAAAACTTTATTTTAATCTAAAAATTTTAAATTGTAATAGTAGTGTAAATTATTAATATTATTAGGGTTATTCTTTAATTAATTAGCTAGCTAAAATAATACTAATCTATTTGTGAAAGTAATTTTTTTAACGGCTTTATTATAACTAATAAGTATACGTAATAATTTCCTACGTTAGTTAATATTTCGATTCTTCTCTTTTTTTTTCTTACTCTTCTCGTATAATTAATAATATAAAAATTGGGTTACTAGTAAAAGAATAATCGCTCTTTTAACCTTTTTAAATATATATTACTTTATAGAAGGTATATAGATTGTATTTAAAAAGTCCTTACATTATACCTATTATTTCTTTATAAAAGAAATATCCTCTTAATATAAAAAAAATTATATTCGCTGTTCTAAACAGTTTGCGGGGATACGAAAAGGGTCCTAGGCTTCGGAAGGTAAAGTAGGTAAAATAGCGGGCTTTAATAAAGTATATTAGTTTAAACCTTTCTACGTATATTTAAATAAGTAGGCTTCTTATTTTTATTAATTTCTATAGGTTTAATGACTATAGTAAGCTCAGGGACTATAATAGGTTCAGCGACTATAATAAATTTAATAGCTACGGTAGGCTTAACGGCTACGGTAGGCTTAACGAACGCGGGAGCGGCGGGTATAATAGATTCAGCGGCTATGGCAGGCTCAATGAACGTGGGAGTAGTAGGTATAGTAAGCTCGGCGGTTATAATAGGCTTAACGAATGCGGGAGCGGCGGGTATAATAGGCTCGGCGGGTATAATAGGTTTAACAAACGCAGGAGTAGTAGGTATAATAAGTTCGGTAGGTATAGTAGGCTCGGCGGCTACGGTAAATTCGGCGGGAGCGGTAAATTCAGCGGATATAGTAAGTTCCATAAATATAGTAGGCGTAGCGAATATAGCGAGCGCAGCGGGCGTAAAAGTTTCTAGAATAATAATTAGATTAGTATTTCTTTTCTTTATATGCTACCAGGGTTTTGACCGTTTTTAAATAGAATTTTCTACTTCTAATAGGCGATATTTTCTTACTCCCAAGGGGTGGTATCTTCGGGTATAGTATTTAACTACCCGGATATTAATTTTTATTCCTCTAATTATTGTTTTGAAAATTATATTTATTATAAATACTTATTACTTCTATAAGTTCGGTACTATTACCTTCGATAAGGTCGTCTTCGTTAGTTAGTATTTACCCTATATTTATTATAAATTAAAATGAATCTCTAGTGAATAGAACTTTATTAAGAAAATCTTTAGGAAAAGTATTAACGTTTATTGGCTATAGGGAGAGAGTTTGGTCGTAATTAGTATTGAAATCCATTATAGTAATAGTAGTAGTAGTAATAGTAGTAGTAGTAATGGTATTAATAGTATTGACTGCTAGTTTAGTTTGATATTATTTTATAAAAAAATAATTTATGTATTTAAATTTTTAGTAAGTTAATTCATCTAATATTTGTATATTTAATTTTAAGGCACTTCACTACTACTACTATACTAGTTTTATAATATTTGGTAGTCTATAATATTATAATATTAATAACTAAAGTAAAATAATACTAAATTTCAAACGGAGAATAGTAATTACTTTAAAAAAGGCTTTTCTATTTACTATTTAATTTATATTATAATATACTAACCTATAGTAATATAACGTAGTGTTATAATAATCTTGCCCGATATCTTCCCTTAACATAGTACGTTATAGTACTTTAATATTATTAAAGAACCTAAAAAAATCTTAACCAATTTTTCTCTTTTCCTTTTTTTTTTCTCTAATGCGGCGGTGCTGCACCGCGTCGGCGGCGTTAGCGTTTTGAATTCTGTAGATGCTTCAAGTTCCATAGTAGACCTGCAAAAATGTATGTCCCTTTCATATAGCCCTAATATTTGATTCCGCATTTTAACCTTAACAACCAATCACACCCTGCTCATCAAATCTGACGCGGCTAGTGTGGGTTTAGCTTTAACTTTATCCCCACCGCAGTCCATGTCCATTTGACGTGGTGAGCCCTAACCCTAACCCCGACCCTCTCTTGCTTGTTCGTCCTGCCCTCTGCCCGGCGCTCAAAGAGGGATAGCGTTTGGCCAGTTTCGCGAGTTTCTACGGTACCAGTCCGCAGTCGTCGAAGCCCGCTGCGGCGGTACATATTTCCCTGTCTTTCTTGATGCTGTCTGTCTGTCAATTACCTGCTGGAACTTGCAGTCTGGTAGCCTGATAGCCGTACATACTCTGTGAAGTTTAATAAGGCAACTGAATGCTATGCACACGCACGCAGGTGACAGTGTTCTACCTTATTTCAGTGACGATAGGTACATAAACCGGATGGATACCAGGAGCGCCGGGCGTGTCTTTTCCCAAGGCCCGGTATTTTCCCCTTCGTCGGTCTCGGTTTGCATACCGTACCTTAATATCATACTTTATCAATGTATACCATAGCATGGCATAGGTAGTGCATGTACAGTACTGCTTCCACGAAACATCCACATCCAAAACATCCTACATCAGTGCAGCAGTGCAGTTGAGCACTAAAAAACCTGCTTACCTAAACTGTACACATCACCCCTGGAAAGTTCGTTAGCGCGGGACTTCACTACGCACTCTTCGCAACTCAACCACCATTCCATCACATTTCATGCAAGAAGTTGGTATCAACCAGATGCGTTTTGGAGGCTTTATATACTTTATCCACTTTTCCGTTTTGAATGTGGTTGTCCCGTTGTTTTTCTGTGAAGTTTTGCAGACCCCTGTCACAAGAACCGCGCTAACAAACTTTTAAGGGTTGATGTATATGTACCAAGCCACAACCAAGACCCCAACTCCCAAGACCGCCGCAAGCGATGTAGATGCAGATCATCACGTACCAACAACTCGCACGAATTGGATAAAGCAGAAGTGCCAAGTTCAGGTATGGACGGACCTTTGCCGCATTTACCTCGAGTTCAGATTTTCAGCCCGTCTTGTCGGTCTTGTCGGTCCTGTCCCGCTGTTAGGCGATGATAGGATCCTTCAACACCGTGACTTTTACCTGAGCGAGAACGATCATGACCTAAAACAGCACGACAGTTGTCACAACGGTGGTTGAGCATTATGTAAAATGTCCCGTTCCTTCGGTTTAGGATAATAATATCCGGAAGGAGGGAGCTCCATACACCGTCTGGAAAAGGACACCCGGCTCCCGCGAGAAGCGCTTTCCCCGGATTTACACATGGAACATCGCCGACGTTACTTGTATCGTAGTAACGATGACACAAGTTTTGTGGTTGAGAGACGTGGCCGTGCAAAGGCTGGCTGGAACCGCTGACTGCTGGGGTGAGGTCCGGTGCAGGGTTTCGTAGCCCCAGGATTGTTGAGAAAAGCTCCACCCAACACGAGAATCCTTCACAAACTCGAGATATCGGATGCGCGTGGCAAAAAAAAGAGAGAAGGCTGGAAGTCAGAGGTAAAGTCAAAGGCACAACGTGATGGTGTTCTGCACAAAAAGACCATGATTATTTACAATGTTTCTCTTGTTTTTTGCTAAGTTTGTTCAGCGAACAATATACCCTCTATAGAGTATAGGTAGCATCTATCAATATTCCTGTGCCCATCATCTCTATTGGTCACCCGAACATTAACAATGATTGGTAAACATGTTTCCATCATTAGGTAGGTTACCTGTCCGTCCGTCCCAATTCCGTTCAGTCCAATTCCCCAGTGCATTGGATCGTCCATCCATCCATTATCCATCCCGTCCTACCCTCGCGTCATTCGTGTAGTTGCCATGTCCCATGACTTTCCCATATAATACATGCATGCATAAAACGTTAAAAAAAAAGATGATGCGCGCATCCTCAACTCCGCGCTGGTTTGCTCGGTGCGAAATCCTGAAACTCCACGACTCATAGTAAACCGGAAATAAAGATACTCAAAACATTTCCCCAGGCCGACAGGTCTGGGGGGGGTATACAAAAGGGGAGATCGCGGGTGAGGACAAAGATCCATCACAGCACGATATTAATGAAGTAAAACATCCAAGAATCGGATCATAAGTGTGCATTGGGCTGGATTAAGCCACGGGAGCACAGCTGTAAGGCTTCGAAACCTGACCACGATCGTAGCGGTCCATCTAAGAAGAGAGTTAGCATTTGTGTGCAAAGAGCAAACGGAAAAGCGGGCCAAACTTACAATATCCTTGATGGCGGCGTAGGTGCCGATACCAAGAATGCCCATGCCGATGATGAAGCAGACCAGGTTGACGGCATCCAAGAAGTATTTCTGGTTCCGGCTCTTGGTATCGCTCCTGGTGATCTTGAAATACATACAGGCAGGGAAGTAGAAGCTGAAACCGGAAATGAAGAGAGCCGAGCAGATGGCCAACAGATCAGAGAAGAAGGGGATGGCCTCAGCAATGACCCAGGCAATGAGGGTAATGCCAGCGTCCAAACCGAGCCAGACCACCCAACCCTTCGGGGTGTTGACATAGCGAATGACGCTGTTGGGCCAGATGCGCTCGATCAAATATCTGCTGACAACAGTGGTGTTGATGCTGCCAGAGATGAAGATGACGGGGAGGGCAATGCCGAAAGCGACCTTGGCGAGGGTGGGGCCAGCAGAGAGCAAGGCAGGAGACTTGACCTCGGGGCCGACGAAAGCGTAAACGACGCCACCAGTGACCGTGTAGATAACGATCTCGATCAAGCCGAGAGCGACGATGGACTTCCTGTAGTCGGAGGGGGTGTGCATCTCATCCATGAAGCTGAACTGGCACATGGCGAAGCTGTAGGCGAAAACAATGTTGCTGACAGCAATGAAGGCCTCGGCGAGGCCGAGGTTCTCCTTGGGCCAGCAAGACCAGGCAACGGCAGCGAGGCCACCCTCCTGGCTGCTCGAACGAATACCAGTACCAATCATGGTGATGAGAATGGCGGCGCAGATGGAGACGAAATCGATGTACCCAAGAATGGCAGCCTCGGAGAAACTGGGCGGAATGGCGAGGAGGAAAAGAATGATGGCGGAGACAATACCGAAGACGAGGGAGCAGGTGCCGTTGCCGTTATCCGTAATGGTGCCCCACATGATGGTGCCCGTGAGGACGTGGGAGCCGACGATGAAGATCAGCTGAACAACAAACATGAAGCTGATGATTTCATATCCCCATCTTCCAAACATGATACGACCAGCGTCGGCATAGTGGGCGATCTCAGGGTGCTTGAGCTTCGTCTGTCCAATAACGTCGGCCGTGTAGATGCAGATGAGTCCCATGCCGACAGAGAGAAGAACGCCAGGGACCATGCCAAGGGTAGCGAACGCGCCGGGAAGAGAGAGAGAGCCGAGGGCAATAGCCTCGACGATGAGGACGATCGTCAGACGTTTCCAGCCGAGACGGTGGAACTTGTCGGCGCCCTGCTGGGCCTCGACCTCCTTGTGCATGAAGTCGCCGCCCAAGCCGCGGACCTCGCCAACATGCTCATCTCCGCTCGACTCCCCGTACGGCATGATGGCGTTTGGGTCGTTCTTTTTTGTCTCGTATTGCGAGTCCATGGTGGGTGGTAAAGAGGCCTTGTTGAAGGCCTTTGTCGACAGCGGCTTGGTTCTCGCTTCTCAAGCTGTTCGGATGGATGATGAGGAGTGGAAAGAGAAGATGCTGTCTGGGACCGGGTGAGAGGAACCCAGGTATAAATATGGATGGGGTACGGACAACAAGCGAGAAAACCAGCAGACGATCCAAAGTCCGAGAGACGGGATGAACTGCGGGGGACCGGGGCAGATTAAGTACTAAAGAAGAGGGATGGAGAAGGCGGGCACCGGATGAGACAGGTACTTGGGAGGTACGTGAGAGGGAAGAGCGACATATAAGCATGCGCGTTGGGATACGCTTGGGGCGAGGCGGATCTCTTGCAGACGACTGCACTAGCAGTTGGAGCAACCTGGAAGTTGGCGAGTCAGGGACAATCTGATGGAGCCTCCCCATCTGGCCTATGCGCACACAATCTGGTCGCCGTTCTCCGGAATTGCCGAAAAGGATCATCCCGTCCTCGATAACATTTCCCCAAACAACCAGCGATCTCGGCGAACGAAGAGACGGTACAAGCCAGGTACGCCTTGCACTTGCTGTCTTGCTTGCCCTTGCCCTGGTGCTGTCCTCACTGCTCTTGCCAAAACTGCCCCGAAACAGCACTGGCAGCCTGGCGATTGCTTCTCTTTTTGGACTGTTGCCGGACGCTCCTGCTACCTTATCTAGCAGGCAAGCCGAAGGCAACTAGCATTGCTTTCGCAGCTTTGCGGACATACAGACTGCGTGGGACAAGCTTGATGCACAAACAACAAGGCCAAACCGACTCGGGCCCTGACTTCAGTTGGGACTGTGACTGATAATGCGTACAATATGCGTATGTATGATAGCTTACCACGTGCTGACCTCTGCAGGCCGGTGGTTCTAGAGAGGGCTTGTGATGGTGCTGGTGGTGAAGTTGTGTTCCTGTCGTCCTTGCCCCAGATCCAGCTCCTCGGTCACTCGAAGAGGCAGGTGGGCGCGTGGGAAACCGTAGGAAGCTGGCCGGCTGGAGGCTTCCCGAGCAACGACCATTCTATTAGTCATGGCGGTGGACCTCTTGGGCAGGTCTGACAGGGAAGTGGTGAGAAGTCGAATGGGAGGTGAGAGCAAGCGGAACCAGCACCCACTCGCCAGCAGCGGCACTCGCCAGCAGCGGAAGCAACCCCGTGTGTGGCAAAGAGAGCAAAGCCCGACCGGGATTGCAACTGGAGACCGGAAAGAAATCCACTTGGTGATGAAGCGAGTGGAATGCGAAAGCCCAACCAGACTACCTTGAAGTAGCGCCGGCATTGCTCCAGCAGCTCCACGACTTTTCTCCATGCCCGCGCTATCCCGAGACGACGATTGGAGAATGGCTGTTTTGCCTGTCCATGTCCGGGCCTTGTACCTTCTGGGTACACAATCTAACATGAAAACCATGGCATTGCGTGGTGGCAGGGAGGGCGACGACGAGGGGCAGCGGCGGAGCGGTGGACCCTTTTCTTGGAGGGGCAGATGCCGCTGCAGGGACCATTAGTAAAAGCTGCGCATAATTCCATACCGTCGGCTCCTCTGTTATCGTTGCAAGTGGAAGCTCTTACGCAGTCGTAATGATGCGGGCTTTCCCTGGCTGTGCCTGGCGATTTCGGGACAATGAACACAGTTGGATTTGGCTTTAGAATTTTTCCAAATGTTCGACGAGTGGGTGGCTGCACAGGATTTCCAGGGTTTGGGGCACGCTACTACTCTACAGCTTTATGACGACATGAATTGTGGGGACTGTGTCGGGGTCGGGGGCCAGCTGTCCGTCACCAACCTCGACGACGTCCTCGACTGGTGTGTCCGGCGAGAAGAGGTTTGAAGTTTGGGACCTAACACTGTGCTCGCCTCCAAGGGACTGGAATGAATGACGGAGCATGCTGTCTCCGTTCTTCTGATGAAACTGAATTGCCTTCGCTGATGACCGGGGCCAGTGTGCAGATCTGGGGAAAGTAACACACCCCGAGTCCCGCCCCGAGTCCCGGAGCGTCGTCGGCGGTGCATCTCGTTCCCCGGATTGGATCTGACAAAAGAATAGCTTCATCCTTGCGCAATTTTCCAATTTTCAAAAATGAGTCGTTCTTGAACACCACACACCCTGAGGCACCGTGATATCGACTTGTAGCGAGCCGTCTACGGCGTGTCGTTCCAGACTTGGTAGACCGTATGGAGATGCAATACAAGAGTCGGTACTGTCTGTCGGATGACGAGGGGAGGTGACGAGGTGTGCAACTTGATTTCGGGGACTTTGGAGACGTTGCACTTGGGGATAGCATCATGATGCACACGTCCCTGGATGAGAGGACGTCATCCGTCGTTCCTGCCCAGGAATGCGGCTGATTCCAGATCGTGGGGGCTTGCCGAGATTGGCTACCGTGTAACCTAACTATCACATACTACTAGAATGCAGCACGCGTCTAGATAGTGCATCTAGGCTGACGCATCTAGAAGTTCAGGAAGCCAAGCTACTACTGCACGAACCAGCAAATCCTCCGATATCTTTATATTCCAGAGGTCCGTAATCGCACCCAATCTTCCCTTTCTTGATGACTCCTTCTGCCCATCCAGTTCTAGATCTATGCAGGTCGACCCAAGTGATGCCTGTTCCATGGTGTCGTGAATCTGGGGTACTTGGGCTAGAGAATGGAGGTCTGTCACGTGTGTATTGTCTCCAAGGTCCAGGTTGATTACACCACCGCAAAGCCGGGGAACCATCTGTTCGGGAGATTCGAGGGGCACGAGCAAAGTTCGTGGGGAAACTAGGTTGGACGAACCGGTCAACGCGGTATTCTAATCACGTCGGCCAATCCCCCCTACGAGTTCGTCATCCACCGCGGCTTGTAGCAAAATTACCCGACAATGAACACGCCAACCTTCTCACGGACAACGGGAATAGGTATAGCCTATACCAGAGGCATCTGTCTAAACTACCGAATGGCTTCAAATTGACGCACTCATATGCCCAGCATTCCCGGTTAGCACAGAGATAACGGCTGCCGTGCCAAGAGAGACATGAATCGGACCTTTTGTAACTTTGTAAGCAAGCCTATGCCAGGGCCCGCTCCCGCTTTCTGGTCGCTCTGGACGATAGCCTTATGTGGGGAGAATCGGAAGAATCCAGCTACGATCCCCACTACTTTGCTGTGCTCGACCGGTATCGGAGATGATGGATCTTTTCAAAGTTTGCAGGCGAAGACGAGCGGGTGGACTAGAGATGCACTAGTGGAATGGCTGGGTTGTTCTCGATGGCTTCTTGTTGGTTTCTTTTGCTGTGCCTTTGTACTTGGGGGTTGGGCGGGCGGCTTGGGAACCTTTTGTCAACCCCCTCTCATAAAAGAGAGGGAAAAAAAACTCTGGGACAAACTTTTAATATGGGACATCTGAAATGTTAGCGTGCACCATAGAAAAATGTTAGTGGGAAGATGTAACAATAACAACCACATCCACCAATTTTCTAAAAATCTGGCAAAATTTTTGAAGTAAGAAAAGGGTATAAAAAAGGCTCCCTCAAAGTTGCATTAATTTTGATCGGGTCGTTGGCGAAAAATCTCCAAGTTGCACACTTCGTTATCGTTAAAGCGTGGTTTAGCTCGGCGGTCTCGCGACACCAAAAATGACGATGTTTGGTGTCGATGCAAAGTCTAGACGCCGCTGTTTGCCCAGTTTCGAAGATGATTTTTTGCAACTTTGAGGGAGCTTTTTTTATACCCTTTTCTTACTTCCCGATTTTTTTCCAGAATTTTAGAAAAATGGTTGATATAGTTGTCATTGTTGCATCCTGCCCACTAACAGTTTTCTATAGTGCACGCTAACATTGCAGATTGTCCCAGATTAAAAGTTTGTCCCAGAGTTTTTTTACCCCTACTTAATGAGTAGGGGTTGAGAAAAGGTCCTACCCAACCGCACCACAACCCCCAAGTAGCTCGTTCTGAAACGGTCTGGACTCTTGAGTCTCGATGACTCGACCTGCCATGTTGGTGATGGGCATGTGATTATGAGCTTCTGGTATGAGCTGGTTTGGATCGTTAGCTTCTGTTGGCAACACCATCTCAAACTATGGTCACAAAAGTCGAGATCATCGGCTTTGGTTGGGGGAGTGGAAGACTCGTGTCGCTGGGTGGTTGGAGTTTCCAGATTGTCGGTGGTTGGAGAAACACCAGGCACGGCAGGTCGGGGTATCCGTGCCCGAGCCTGATCCCTTTAACGGTGCAAATGTATCATTTTTAGCGCGGCATGTGTTGTGACTAATCGGCTGGCCTCACTTTATCCCCTCTACATCTGTGGCCATGCAGATACCTTGATTTTGCCAGCTTTTGCAGCACTTTTGTCATTGCACCAGATGTGGAGTGCGAGAACCAGAATCAACCAATCAAAAGGGTCGCCAACAGAGGAGTTCAAAATCGCTGAAAGATCCATTACAACAACAACAACAACAACAACAACAACAACAACAACAACAATAACAAAGACTTGGTGATATTTGCGTTTAACGGCTCAAAGACGGTGCAATCAGGTAAGTCAGTCTTGATACTTTAATAGACCATGTAGAATCGCTGATTTTACTAGCAAAAAGGACACTTTTAACATCGTCGGACGCGCCCGCTAGCGTTGCAACCCAAGAATCCAGAAAGTCACCAAGTACTGCCGGTAGCTGTGGGGGCCGCTAAAAATGATACATTTGCACCGTTAAAGGGATGGACTCTTTCACGTGTTTTCTTGGCGCACACAGCAACGACTCGAAGCCACAAATGTGTTCAGCCACGTGCCGATAAGCAAGTCTCGCTATCAGTGTCCAGCCACAGCCTTGCGTGTCCCCGGTGATGCAAGTAAACAAACAGGGAGCCTGGGCAACACCCAATCGCGTCTCCGAACAGCCTGCCAAATGTTTTGTCATTGCAACTTCCCAACTACGTATCCCCCACCACCACCGTCCGTCGCAACCATTGTGCGCATTGTCTTTCGCAGCGCGAAGTAACAACAAAACAAAGATTTGACAAAATATTCGAAATTGACGCATCATTATTGTTCAATCGACTTCCGGGATATGCATCGGTTTCGCGACTAAAGCCCGAGTTTCTGCCTCCATCCGCGACAGTCTCGACCTTTGCACGATCGCACTCCCGGGCACTGGCCTTCGCCTAGCCGAGCGGCAAAAGAAATACCACCATTCATCCTGCGAAGCGACCAAGATCCCGATAATTCCCTCGAGACATACCGTCCCTGGACGAATCGACGTCCTGCCACCACGGCGCATCCGCGGCCATGACAGACTACTTCATTTACGAAAATCGACTGGCGTCTTTTGAGGGGCAGCCCCTGGCAAACAAAGATGGAATACCTCCCGCTGATTCCCGAGGCAAGCTGGTAAAATGGCCGCATAAATCCTTACCAGCGGATGAGGTCAGTAAAATGGCACCAAAGAGGAGGGAGCAGGTTGACAAAGCGCGAGTGGAAGAGGAGACTGACAGAACCGAACTTCCAGCTCGCAAAAGCCGGATTTTACTTCGATCCCATGGTCACTAGTCCCGACAATGTAACATGCTTTCTGTGCGAGAATTCCTTTGACGGCTGGACGCCTGGAGACCATCCGATCCAAGAACATCTGAAACATTCGCCATTTTGCGGCTGGGCTGTGACGGCAGCAGTCGAAGCGAATCTTGGAGACTATGGGAAGATGCACCCTCTGGAACCGATTCTTGTCGATGCGCGGAAGGCTACCTTTGGGGGAAAGTGGCCATACGAATCCAAGAGGGGATTCAAGTGCAAGTCAAAGCAAGTAAGCACTCCCTTGCACTTGCCCAACCCCAAGGAGCACAGGCTAACTGGTCGCAGCTTGCCGAAGCTGGTTGGAAGTTCGCACCAACAATCGAGGATGAAGACATGACAGTTTGTCCATATTGCCTGCTAGGACTTAGCGGTTGGGAACCTGGTGACAAAGCAATGTAAGAAGCATTCACCTCCATCTGGCAAGTATCCACTGCAAATCAACTAACAATAAGCTTGCACGTAGTGACGAACACCAGAGACGACAACCTCAATGTGCGTTCTTCCGCCTTCAGGAGGAGTTACCGCCACCGAAGAAGCCCGCGAGAAGAGCCAAAGCAGCCAGGACATCCAAGGTCGCCCACCGCCTCTCTGTCCAGCCTGTCGGAATCCCCACTGCAGAAACCTCGGATCAGGTATCCGCCTCAGACACCGCGGGCGGCCGTGAGGACATGATTATGGCGCCAACCACGCGGGCAGCAAAGAGCAAAAAGGCAACTGCTAGGAGCCGAAAAGCAAAAGCCCAGAAGAAGGAAGAAGAGCCTAAGGAAACCTTGGAGGACAAGCCCGCAGACGAACGATTGCCTGCTGAAGAACCACCAAAGGGACGGAAGCGGGGAAGCGAGTCGATTTCCGATTCTGTGGACTCCAACCCGGAGGCGCCTCCGCAGAAGAAGCGGGCAACACGAACAGGAGGAGCTGCGGTCGCTGATGCTTCCACTTCAGCCGTGGAACCACAGGACACTGACATTCCCGATGCACCATCTCCCAAACAAACAGCTACCCGCAAGAGAGCGCCCGCCAAAGGAACACAGGGCTTGCGGAAAAGCTCACGAGTTTCCCTGCAGCACCCTCATTCGACCACGGCCCCGCAGACAGATTTATCGAATGATGAGGTCGTCGACCGTCAGATGGAGATCAACGACGCCGATGTTGATCCAGGGCGCAAAGTGCAGAATGCAGAATTACAAGAGGAAGCGGATGCTGAGGATCCAATTTCTTCATCCGACATCCCCCTCCCCAAGAAGGGTCGCAAAGTAGCTGCTCAGAGGATGTCTAAGCAAGCGAAAAGGATCCAACAGTCTCTTCCATTATCCGATCCTGTCGACGAACTGACGGACGGACCTACTGCTGTGCCCGAAGCCACGTCTGTTGTGCCCCAGCCAGCACAGCCAGAGCTAGGATCTGGGCAGGATCCAGATATGACCTTGGTCTCAAAGAGTAGCGGCCGACCAAGTACGGTCAAGCGGGGAAGGGGACGCCCATCGAAAAAGTCAACATCATCCCATGCGTCAAGCGAAGTGGCGGAGCAGCAGCGAACTTCATCTGGGATCCCGCTTCCGGAGGCCCAAGCCCAGGTCGAGACCCAGACCGAGACCCAGGCCGAGCCTGATACCGAGCGCCGCTTGTCAGCTTCAAATCCGAAAGAGGCGGGCGTTGAAGCGGCAGCAGAAGAACCGGTTCCGGAATTTACACCCCAGGCCTCCCCTCCTAAGGCGGCCGTTACTCGTGCTGCGCCAACACCAGCCAGGCTGAACAAGTCTCTTCCTCCGCCGCCATCTGAGTCCCCAGATCACCTATCTCGGCCGCCTACCACACCTCGGGCACCCACGGTCGCGCGTGTACCTGAAGAACAGCCAAGCGCCTACCGCTCGCCATCAATGCAATCCTCAAATGCAGAGAACCGACCTCCATCGCCGAAGCAATTGACCCCAACAGTCGAACGTCATGCTCTAGTACCAATGGTCACCACACCAGACAGGCCCACTTCTCCTTCCAAACGGAAGATTCTGGGCGCCCTCCAAAGCACTACACCTTGGACCGCGGTGGATCTAGATAACATCTTCTCGCCCACCAAGAATGATTACGAAAAGGAAGACGGCATTGACAAGCTCTTGCACAAGGGCAGCGAGCTTACGAGCCCAGAGAAGCGAATGACTGTGGAAGAGTGGATCTATCATAATGCCAGCTTGGCTGAGCAGAGACTGAAGAGGGAATGCGAGGAAATGGTCTCGGTGTTTGAAAAGCAGGGTGCCAGAGCCATGAAAGCTTTGGAGGGGCTTGTTGTGGAGTAGTGGGTGAGTGGCATGAGTGTTGGGGACGAGTTTATCAGCATAGGAGGACGGAAAATATGGATTTGCATACCAGATTTCTCCCGGTTCCAGGATGGGCAAGTCCTGGTACGGGTGATACCGGTGGACATGGAATTTGCACAGGGCGTTGCATAGCAAGCTTGTTGTTTTCAGTAACCTGGTTTTGGCTTGAGTAGCATGGAAGGCGTTATTCGACGTCCGGTCTGATGATGTATGGATACCGTATTTGATGGCGTGTACAGTAAAAGTGCGCAAGAGTGTGCATAACAAAGGGACGAGACATCAAGTTACTGATGTAGATTCTCTAGATGATTGATTCTAGCATCAGGAATCTGAGCCCGAGAGCGAGTGTAGTGAGATTGGGTTTGGTTATCCATTAGCGGGCGGCCAGTAGTGATGGAAGCGTTTACACCAAGAAAGAGAACTCGGTAGCAACGTGACGAGATAGCGAGTAAGAGATACCATGGGCCAACAAAACGGCGAATAATGAACATATTTATGACTAGTCCTTCAAGTAGATATCGTGCCATCCATATTTGGGAGTTCCGTGTGGTTGTGACTTGTACGACGCCAAAGGGTTAGGGTTAAGTAATTCACTGTCCGCTTTTTTGCGGCACTCTCCATGACTTCATTGGGGCAGGCAGCCTTGTGAATCTACTTTGGTACCTTGACCACAACCACCGATTGCGACCACGCGACGCGCTTCAACTTTTCGGTTCTTTAACTTCCACCAACTTAAATTTCGAAGGCGACGACAGTATATACGGGCAATTTTCCCGGCCGTAATCAACAAACAATCACCTGTTTCCAAAGCCCCTTTGCGCACCGTATCGCAAAAGCACTACCAGCAACAACCGCCACAAGGTACCGGCATCGCAGTAGTAGCAGTAGCAGCGACAGCTCAACAGCTCCCCATCGTCGTCGTCGCACTACGTCGCCACAATGAGGTTGACGGCAGACCTGATCAACAACTCCCTTTCCTACCTCAATCCGCTCAAGGAGCGAGAGATAGATCTCCGAGGTGCGTTCCATCGAGAAGAGCAGATACTGCACGGTTGATCTTCCAAGTTTCCAAAAGCGCGTACAAAGAACAGAGTTGATATATCGAAAACCTATGTTGGGTTGGGATAAATGCAATAGGACACAGAATACCTGCTATTGAGAACTTGGGCGTTGCTGGAGTAAGTTTTGTCGCCTCTTCTTCTTCTTCTTCTTCTTCTACTTCTGCTACTGTTCGTCGACAACATCACCAACTATGCAGTTTTGCTAATCTTGTCGCTACTACAGCCCCACGATGCCATTGACTTTACCGACAACGATATCCAAGTGCTGGGCAACTTCCCGCTCTCCCCCCGCATACGCACCCTCCTGCTCGCCCGCAACAGGATCGCCCAGATCCAGTCGACCCTACCGAATGCGATCCCGAACCTGAAGAACCTCGTCCTGGCGTCCAATAACATTGGCGAGCTGGCGGATTTGGAGGTGTTGGGAAGGTTTCCTAGGCTCACGCACTTGGTTTTGATGGATAACCCCGTTACCAAGAAGGAGGTACGTCCCTTCGTCATGTCGTTCGTGTTATACGCCTGAGAGAGAAGAAGAAGAAAGAGAGGCGGGGAAAGGAGAATGGAATGGATGGGCGAAATGGCTGACAATGGGTGTTGTTGACGCACAGAACTACCGCTACTGGGTCCTCTGGCTGTGCCCCCAGGTTCGCTTCCTCGATTACGTCAAGGTCAAGGACGCCGAGAGGCAAAAGGCGAAGGAGTTGTTCGGAACCGCTGATGAGCCGACGGAGTTGGCCAACACGGTATGCACACCTTCTCTTCTTTTGACGCCAGCCCATTTATGACAAACATACTAACATGCTATCCTCCCAAACAGATAAAGGGAATCAAGACCAAGACCTTTGACGTCGGCGCCGGCTCCGCCAACGGTGCGGCCGGAAGTGGCCCCTCCTCGAAACTCTCGCGTCTCAAGCTCACGGAGAAGGAGAAGAAGAAGCTGCAGGATCTGATCAAGAAGGCCGACAGCTTGGAGGAGATCATCAGGCTGGAGAAGGCCCTCAACGAGGGACGACTGCCGCCTGGTATTATCGCCGAGGATGACGATGCCATGGAGGAGTAAGGAGGAAGGAAGGGTAATGGGCCTCTGACGGGTAGATCAGATCATTTCATGTCCGTGATACGATGGCTTGCAGAGTTGACGAAAAAGGGGGAGGACGGCACTTCAAAGACGAGAGGTTACATTTGTCGGCGTTCGGTTCTAGATTGGGCTTACTGCAAAAAAACTGTATACCACGATACGCAAATTTGTTTGAAACACAGAGGCACTGGAACATGAAAGTGGTGTGATGATTTTATTGCAACGACTGGAGCGGCCTTGAGGAAAGGCACCCTGGGATGATGAATACCGAAGACTCATAGTTATTGTTTCAGCAACTCTAGACTTCTTTGTACCCCTTGCACCACTCAGGTGTTCAACCCGCCTATTGCCTCCGTACAAATATCCAGATAGACGCTGACCTCAGATAGACGCTGTTCTAACCCGTCATATCCACATCCCCATCGTGACCCCGATACTGCTGTGACGCCGCCTGCCTCATCTCCATCTGCAACTGGGCGCTAGGATCCTCGTCCGACGTAGTAGCCGGCGGCGACGCCGACAAGATGCCCCTATTCAGTCCTCCTCCTCCCATCACACCAGGAGTAGAACTAAACGGCCGTCCCGAAGCCGACGACATGCCCACACCCGTCGTGGTGACACCCATATTGGTAATCCCGGTATTAACCCCGCCAGCACCGAGTCCATTCACCGGCGCCGCCAGCCCTCCAATGCTTCCACTGGTACCACTGCCCGTAGCCAACCCCCCATTCATAGACATCAAAATCGACGTCTGCTGCAACCCGCCGGACCCCTTCTGCTTCTTAGCATTCGGCAGCATCGCCATCCGATCCCTCTCATCACCATGATCACCCTGCTGCCCCAGCTGTCCATGCCCCTGCTCCAAAGAAAGCATAACCCCCTCAGGAGCCGCCAGTCCCCCCATAACAGCCGGCGCCGAAACGACAGCAGCAGCAGTCCCCGCAGGCGGAACCACGACATCGCTCCCGCCTTTGACGCGGGCCCGCGCGGCCGCTGCTTGCGCCTTGATGGCTTTGTAGGAAGAAGTCTTGGGCACCACGTCCTCGAGGAACTCGAGGTTGTCGTGGTGGGAGACGGCGGCGGCCACGTCCTTGTATTGCACGTTGCGGCGGGGCTTGCGCTCGGCTTTGGCCATGTTTTGGGCTTCCGAGGCTAGGTGTTGGATGAACATTTCCGTTGCCAGAGTGATTACGAAGGCGGCGTTGTTGGAGCAGACGGTGATGTCGGGGTCTATGGCGATGATCTTTTTGACTCTTGTGACTGGGAAGGAGGAGAGGGAGGGGTTAGTATGTTTTATCTTGTGGTTTTCCTTCGAAGTGAGTGAGTGAATGAGTCTCAGGGGAGGGGTCCTTACGAGGCAACTGAGTTTGACCTGTGACCTCCTTTCGGGGAGGAATTGCTGTGGTGTTGTAGGGCATCTTGTCGGCTATGGGAGTGGCGGATCTCCCGGAGAATTTGTGAAGGTGATTCAAAAATCAAAATGTGACTCTTGTATCGGTGAGGTGACGGTGGAATAAGTCAAGGTTCTTCTTTTCGATGGAGGTCGAGCTTCTTCGGTGCCGCTGCTGAGTATGTGACAATTTCGTGAAATGTGCTGGCTTATATGTCGCAAACAATCGTGATTCTCTTGACAGTTCCGATATAAATCTACCCAGCTCTTATTAGACTGGTAAATGGCTGATGAATTTACAGTAGATCGACGGCAAGAAGTTAAAGTGAAACGCGTAAAGACGCGATTAAGAAGAGCGTTGCACATTCCGGAACAACGCCCTGGGGTGGGTGCAACGGGGTACAGTAGGCACCTTGGCGGCCCAGGGATTGCCTGCCAAGAAGCCCAGGACCCCGGAAGCTGGGGGAGTTGGGACGTCAGTCAGCCTTGCAGTGATAGCTTCTTCAGTGGGCGATTACAGGCACCTCGGCGGCAGAGGCGCAATCGATAACGGCGACAAGCTCAAGACAACATCACGGACGGGACACTCGGTGTTGAGGCACGGCAAACAACTTGGACAACCACCCGCATACGCATTTTACTTCAGTCCGAATGCCAGCGACATGATATCCAGAGGCGGCCCAGGCGCCATGAACTCGCAATCCCGATCTACGTCGTTCTCGACGTCAGTGCCTCAGTTCCCGAACCAGCGCGCTCGAAGACCGTCCGTCAGCTCCCGCTTCTCCTACGCCGTGTCCATTGCCGAACAAGGAGAAGCCCAAACGGCCCAGGGAGTTGCGGCGCAACATCAGATCGAGGAGGAGATTGCGCAGATCAAGCGATATGAGGTCAGCCAGCTTTGCTTGCTCGAGAGTTTGGGTTGTGCGATGAGACCGGGTCAACTAACGTCGACCGAGTAGGACTTTACAACCATTGGTATGATACACCTTTGACATCCGACCGGCACGCGCTGACGATAGGCGACAGACTGGGTGCAAGATGCGGCTCGAGAACAACTTCGCAGAAAGGCGCGCCGAAAGAGAAATGCTGGGCTCTGGGACGCCGGCCGATTCGACTGGCGACACAGGATACGAGAGTCTTACGATGCTGCTCAAGGCTGGATTGTCGTGACCATAATTGGCGCGGCAATTGGAGTCAATGCTGCGTTTCTCAACATCATTACGGAATGGCTTGCCGACATTAAGCTCGGCCATTGCAAGACTGCCTTCTATCTCAACGAGAATTTCTGTTGCTGGGGGGAGGACAACGGTTGCGATGACTGGCAAAAATGGACGGATCTCTCACCCATCAACTACTTGATCTACATACTCTTTGCGGTTCGTATAAGCTATCCTAAGTCGGGCCATCTGAGAAACCCCACTAACAGGCTATAGATCTTGTTCGCCTGTACATCAGCCACCCTGGTCAAGTCCTATGCCCCCTACGCCGCCGGCTCTGGCATTTCTGAGATCAAGGTCATCATTGCCGGCTTCGTCATGAAGGGGTTCCTCGGTTTCTGGACTCTGGTTATCAAGTCCTTAGCCTTACCGCTTGCCATCGGCTCCGGTCTCTCCGTTGGAAAGGAAGGGCCTAGCGTACACTACGCTGTGTGCACAGGAAATGTCATATCGAGGCTCTTTGCCAAGTACAGACGAAATGCATCCAAGACGCGTGAGATTCTCAGCGCCTGTGCTGCCGCGGGTGTTGCCGTCGCCTTCGGCAGCCCTATCGGAGGTGTGCTGTTCTCGCTCGAAGAGATGTCCAGCTATTTCCCTCTCAAGACCATGTGGCGAAGCTACTTCTGTGCCTTGGTCGCAACAGCCGTCCTGTCTGCCATGAATCCCTTCCGGACTGGGCAGTTGGTGATGTTCCAGGTTCATTACGACAGATCGTGGCACTTCTTCGAAATCTTATTCTTCATCCTACTCGGCATCTTTGGCGGTCTATACGGTGCCTTCGTTATGAAGTGGAATCTCAGGGTGCAAGCATTCCGCAAGAAACATTTGACCAACTACGCAATTCTGGAAGCTACTCTGTTGGCGGCTGCCACGGCTATCGTGTGCTATCCAAACAGTTTTCTGAGAATCGACATGACCGAGAGCATGGAGATTCTTTTCCTTGAGTGTGAAGGCGCTGAGGATTATCACGGGCTCTGCGAGAAGGACCACCGGTTTCGCAACGTCGTTTCTTTGCTGCTAGCAACCGTCATCCGCATCTTCTTCGTCATTATCTCGTACGGCTGCAAGGTTCCAGCCGGTATCTTTGTGCCGTCGATGGCCATCGGTGCCTCCTTTGGCCGTTCAGTGGGCATCATCGTCCAGGCACTCCATGAAGCCAACCCGCAAAGCCCATTCTTCGCTGCTTGCTTGCCCGACGTGCCATGCATCACACCCGGAACATATGCCTTCCTTGGCGCGGCCGCCGCTCTGAGTGGCATCATGCACATCACCGTCTCGGTGGTGGTCATCATGTTCGAGCTTACCGGTGCCCTCACCTACATCCTACCAACCATGATTGTCGTTGGTGTTACCAAGGCCGTCAGTGAGCTCTTTGGCAAAGGTGGCATTGCGGACCGCATGATCTGGTTCAGCGGCTTCCCCTTCCTCGACAACAAGGAGGAGCACAACCTCGGCGTGCCCGTCTCGCACGCCATGATCAAGGATGTCACATCCATCCCCACCAACGGCATGACCCTCCAGCAAATCGAGGCTCTTCTCGCCGAGGACAACTACCAAGGCTTCCCCATCGTGGAAGACGAGCACTCCAAGACCCTAGTCGGCTACATCGGCCGCACGGAGCTACGCTACGCTGTCGACCGCGCAAAGCGCGAGAGAACGCTCGGCCCTCAGGCCAAGTGCACCTTTGCTCCACCACCCAGCGCGGACGGCACCACCGCCGCTAACATCACTACTCCCGGCGACATCATCACACCCGGTCTGGCCCGAATGGACAGCTTCAACACCATCGGCTTTGCCGAGTCATCATCCACCCCCGCCGCCACTTCATCCTCCTCCTCCTCCTCCTCCAACTTCATCAACTTCAGCCGCTACGTAGACACCACCCCCGTCTCCGCTCACCCGCGCCTCCCCCTCGAGACCGTCATGGAACTCTTCCGCAAGATCGGCCCGCGCGTGATCCTGATCGAGTACCACGGCAAGCTGATGGGGCTTGTCACGGTGAAGGATTGTCTCAAGTATCAGTTCAAGGTCGAGGCTATGGAGGAGGTTGCTAATAATGGGCATGGGGCGGAGCAACAACAGCAGCAACAACAACAGGGAGTTAGTGGTGATGAGAGACTGTGGGAGTTGATGCAGAGGGTTGCGGGGTGGGTGTCGGATAAAGTGTCGATTGCGAGTGGTGGGAGGATAAGGTTGAGGGATTCGTTGGATTTGCCGAGGGAGGCGTTGGCTGGCGGTGGTGGTCCTGGTGCGGGCGCCGGCGCGGGTGCAGCAGGTATGGGTAATACTAGTAGAAGTACGGGAGGAAGGGGAAGGGGAAGGGGTGATCAAATATTAGAGGGGACGGAAGATGAGGATGAGGATGGGGTTGAATTATTGGAGAGTCGGGAGAGGTACCCGCGCGGAGGATCTACGTCTAGGTAGTAGAGCGGATATGAGTGTAATGTAATATTGGGCGTTTTTTCTCCTGGTTAGGTATAGAGGTGGTAATGAAAGCGAATTATTGAGCGAGTAAGGTATACTGGTACGCATCAGTGATGGTTAATTCGACAGACATCTGATCCGTCAAACCCGATCGCTGGTGTCTAACTTCCTTGCCCAAGAAGTGAAGATAAGGAGCAAGGTCCCTCAACGACCACACCCCGATACCTCAGGGTCCTTTTTCCACTTCCCCATTGGGCATACGATCCGTGTGACCCAAACAATGGTCTTTGAGCATGCAGACATGGTATGTGTGAAACTACACAAGTAAAGGCCTTGCCGGTCTCGTCGTACTGTGTAGTAGTTTAGAACCGGTGAACGGTGAGACAGACTGGCCCGTCACCCTGTGAATTTGTGAAGGAGTGAAGTACGCATGACTGGCTGGCATTGCAAAGCTAAGCGGCTGGTTGGTTAGGGAGTCAGTCGGTTACAGGGCTGACTGTGTAGGTCGTACAGGGTCCAACCAACAATCTTGTCCTTCCTTTCTTCTTTCTAGATAAACTATCAGGTAATGATAAGGTAAACAAAGGGGTTGTTAAGGGCACCTGACATTCTGGCAAGAGTGTTACGAAAACAGGCCCAGATAGCTGATAGACCGGCTTGCAAATAGTGTATTGGTACAGCGGTTACTACTGGGCAAGATAGTGGTAGCTCAGGGAGGCGAGAAGCAAGCGGTGATCCCGCCCTGTCTCATCGGGACCGACAGCCGTGTAAATAGTTCCCGACCGACAACCGCCTTTCCCAACTTTGTGAGGATTTACGAACTTTGACATGGCATATGCTGGTATATGGAAAAGGCAAACTCTCTCGTAACCGTAACCGATTTTGTAGGTTTCCAGTCCTCAAGGTGCTGTAGCCAACGGCATCCTTGTCTTTTGTTTCTTACAGTGGCCTGGAGGTGCAGATCGAGCACTGTTACGGTGACTACGTACAGTGGCCATGTGTGGTACGGTACACTGGTGTAACAAAGACTATCAAACACACAAAGTTGTGAAAGAGGGCAGAATTGTGCTTGCTCGTCCTTTGCTGTACAACTGAACCGACCGATAAAACCGTGACGATTGTCGTTATCGTGGTTCATCCGAAGCTCGATAACGGGGAAACCGCAGTTCGAAAAGATTCCAAGTCGGAAGGGGCGGGGACGCCCGTGCAGGGATAGGAAGTCGTTTTTTTCTTGCGCTTGCGCTTGCTGCCGTCAACTACAACACTGAACCCCACCGTACCAAAATCGTCACTTTCTTCACACAATGGAAACGACGACGATGCCAAATATGCCATGTTTTCGTATTTTCAACCATCGATTTTTCCGTAATTTTCCGTTGCTCTTTTTCGCTCCGTCGAATCCAAAAAGAAACCGCAAAGAAGCCGCTTCGTTCCCAGGTCACATGGACCAGCACCCAGTTGCTCTTTCCCCAGCTGACCCACCGAGATCGGTCCTTGCAAACAGGCATCGTAGCGCGGCTTCCCCCGACTTCCCCGACCGCTGTCTCCGCCCAGAACCTGCTGAGAAACGCCCGCAATCCCATTCCATCCACACGCCTTGGAAGATCGACACCGCCAGTTTTCGTCCTCCTTCTGATAGGTCATCTTCAACCTCTTCATTCTTCATCCTATCACCATCCTATCCTATCCTGTCTTGCTCACCCTGATACCCCCTTTTGCCCATCAACATTGACAGCATCGTTACCGATCATCAGACCCCAAGCGACGACTTAGTTGAAGAAGCGTTGAGAGCATTCATCCATAAAACCGCAGTTCAAAGCGTCGATATAGAAGCCATTGGATCCCTCTTTTGTCACACAACATAACGGATACCCCTCAAGCCAAGTCCAGACACCCAAGCATCTTTTGACTTGTTCAACGACCTCCTCTTTTTGCTTCAGTCCTAAAGCTTCCTGTCCATAAATGATCGCATAAAGGATCGTTTCAACCGTTCGATCTTTCGCTCCGTAATCATAAGAACGACCCAGCAGACACTATGGCTGTCGGAATCACCCAGACGGTGGCTGCAGCCACTACCAGCGTCCCGCTCTGTCTCATGGCTACCTTCAAGGAAACTCCAAGCCTGGACAACTTCGATAAGCTCGTCCAAGCCTTGAAGGATGCCCTCGGGCCGTCGTCGGGTCTGACTTCAGACGATGTCGATGTCGAATACCTCACTCGCTTGATGCAAGACTATCAGAGTGATGAGGTAGAATGGTCGAGGTTCGCCTTTGGCGATGCGAGCCGGGGGTATACTCGCAACTTGGTTGACGAAGGGAACGGGAAGAGCAACCTTGTGAGTAACAGTCCGCCCGTAGCATCATTCCCATGCAACCCCATCTCCATACCCCATCCATAGTCTGCCCCTGCTCTGTATGTGCAGTGCAATGTTCACTCGAACACAACACTGACGACAAACGATGAACAGCTCGTCCTAGTCTGGTCCCCAGGCAAAGGGTCACCCATCCACGACCACGGCAACGCCCACTGCCTGATGAAGATCCTCCAAGGCAACCTCACCGAAACCCGCTATGCCTTTCCCGATCCCACATCATCATCATCCTCTCCCTCCTCAGAACCAGAACCAATGCAAGTAATCTCGGAAGAAGTCTACCGCGAAAACGAGGTGGCCTACATGGCCGACGAGCTCGGCGTGCACCGCATGTGGAATCAAGACCCAGACAACTTTGCCGTGTCGTTGCACCTGTACACGCCGCCCAACGTGGCAAGGGGGGGCTGTCACATCTTTAACCCGGAGACGAGCAAGAAGAGCCATGTGCCCAAGTGCGGGTACTACTCGGCTTATGGGAAGAGGCTGAATGAGTGAGAGGAGAGAAGAGAAGAGATAAGAGAAGGAGATGATAGGTACTCATGCCGAGGTGTCGTCGATTATGATGTTCGATGGATAGATGGGGAGGCATAGGTCGGCGGTAATGAGCTTCGTTTTGTCGTCGAGTTCGAGTCGAGTCGGAGCTGTGTCCATGGTTTGTTTTTGGTTGGGCTGGGTTGGGTTATATATGATGATGATGATGTATTGTCATGGTGAGGGAGGCGTTCGGTTGATGAGCGGTGATTCAGGGGCTATTGTTATCCCCGGGCTATTTTGTTTTCGTTCATGTCGCTTGGTAGTAATCGTATTGTTGTTGCTTGCTTGCTTCCAGTGTTGTCTCGTTGTGTGGATATCGGTTTGGCGCTGTAATTGAGAGAAGGTCCAGTACCGTAAGGTCCGTAAAACACCGGGAAATTGGTTTCGCGACCGCAAAAAGATAACCAAAACGAAGTTACAGCACCGGAACAGTGAAAGAGATGTGGAAAGGAGAACTGCCGGCTGGGGAGAGAGAGGGGGACATTGATGTCGTCGTCGGCGTCTTGAGGAGCGGATACCTTCTCACTTCTCATCCCATTTTGGGACTAGCGCGGATTGCACCATATTCATCCAATCGTCTTTTATGGGTCGTGCGGACCCTGCTGGCCTGTCAGAGGTTTTGAGGAAAGGGATGCTGGGTCACGTTACTTGTCATGTGATACCCCTAACAGCTACCAGGTGAAGCCTCCTGTTTCTACTTGTAAACAACATTCAGCAATCGTCGACGACAAATGGGTTTGGTTTGAGTCACCTATGGTTTCCAAAAACTTTAATCATTCCTCGATATATCAAAACTGTAACTAAACCCTTATTCGTTACGCTGTGAAAATCCCTTCTCCTCTTTACATGCATGCCCATTGTCCCAATGGACAACCAAACAAACAACAATAACAACGCCTAAACAGAATCACGACGAAACTCTACCACCACCATCACCACCACGCTGATTTATTCACCTGATAATAAGCACCATACCCCCTCTATCACACGAAACTGTCATCGGGTAGGGTGACTCCACCAACGCCACGTCAAGAATCGAATCCAAGTGACTCCTTAGCAATCTGAAATGCTCCTGCGAGATGATCTTGGTTCTAGAAGGTCGCATCTTCTGCTGGGCATTGTTCGCAGAGTTGGACGAAGACGATGACTTGCCATTGACTCCTTGCGCCGTGACACTACCCCCTCCGGTCCCGGCGGCAGCAGCCCCAGACCGGCCACCAGACGACGACTTGCCATTATGCAACCGCTCCGTATTGAGAATCAAAGACGGCGTCGGATGACTAGCCGTGTAACTCGGCGCCGCCTCGCCCAGCTGCAAACCAGAGTAGATCCTGCTCTGGCTAACATGCGTCAGGTCCCAAAAGCGCAACTTCTTGTCCGAGCCGCCCGTGATCATGAACGCGTAGCGGACGTCTCGTTCCTGCAGCGGCGGCGGCGGCTGTTCTTCGACCGTGGCCGCGTCCGTGATGCCCCAGCCAAACACCAGGGCGCGCACGCCCCGGTCGGCGTTGCCCATGGCGTTGGGCTCGATGTTGGTCGCGAACCGCGAGAGCATCTGCCCTTGCCCGTCCGAAGGCTTGTCCTCGTCGACTTGCCAGGCATCGTACCCCTTGGGACCTTCCTTGTTGCCGCCGACGCGGTAGACTTCGCGGCAGGTGGCCTTTTCGATGTCCCAGACCGTGACTTCGCCTTGGCCGGTTCCGCCGGAGGCGCACACCCAGCGGCCTCGGCCGCGGGATGGGTGGATGGAGAGCCGGTAGATGGAACCTTTGCCGGGCACGCCCCAGCTCTTGAGCTTCACTTTGAAGCGGAGATCCCACAGGTCCAGGACGCCGTGGGATGTGCCCAGGCATAGCCAGTTTTTCTTGTTGTCGATGCAGAAACAGGTTGGTGTGCCGTGATGGACCGGATTCTCTAGTTTGAAGAGCAGTGTCATGGTTCGGAGCTCCATGCCCCAGACGACTGACTTGTTGGTGGCTACCACAAGAATAGACTCATTGTCCCGTTTATAGTGTTCGCACCACACGCCGAACTCGCCGTCGACAAAGCGATGTTCTCTGATTGTGCGGAGACGAGTGTACCGATAGCTCTCGCCCTGTAAGTAAGTCTCAACCTTGACTATGTGAACGCTGCCATCCGTGGCACAGCTGACGAAGCTATGCGTGTTCTCGATAAAGCATAGCGCGCGAACTTTGGCACCGGGAGCGTGTCGATGGGTGAGGCGAGGTTTGTGAATATTAATCTTTTCAAACCTGGCCGAGTCCCAAACCTTGACGGTGCCATCATCGCCACCAGTCAGGAAGAATTGATGATCCGGAGCAACCACGATCCGATTGATGGCACCGACATGCTCAACAAACGACGCGATAGTCACTCCTTTCGGCTTCCATCCATTTTCCCTTTGCTTCCCTGGTTGGGAACTGATGATCTTGCCAGTCTTGCGGCGCCCAATGGGCGTAACCTCTGGACCAAACTCGGCAAGGTCGTGCGGGTAGTTCTCGACGTACATGGTATCCAACATCTTGAGAATATGCGGATCGTTCCCATGGTAATCGTGATTCACGCGCAGCTTGATACCGGGCGTTGGCGGCATGCTTTCGGTATCTGGGGACCTGATGTGAGTTCCCTGATAATGCTGGGTGAACGACGCTTCAACCTCACCAAAGGCATTGGTCTCTGTAGTACCAGTCTCAGGAACGGACTTAGCGCTGTCCTTGCGATTCATCAGACTAATCGCGCTAGATTGATGCTTCAAAGCCCTCCTTGTTTCGTACGGGGAGTAGTGAGCAGATCCCACGTCGTCATGAGGGGAGAGCAGAGATGCATGGCTCTGATGAGACGCCGACCGTCTCAAGGTGTTTCTTGAGTTTTCGCCATTGCTGTCCGTAGCAGGCCTACCGTCCACCGAGATGGATGGAAGATTTGATCGACTGCCTGATTTCGATTTCTGCTTATCCAGCGCAGCCCGACGCCGTTGGCTGAGTGGATCACCGATGGTTAACGACGCATCCAGGAGAGCCTCCTGAATCGTCTTAGGAGCCGTGTCATCGTCGTCCAATTGCGGAGCAGGATAGCGAATGGGTTCCTCTTCAAACATAACGGTCTGAGGTGTGATACCCAAGTTTCGCAGAGGAATGATGTCCTCGAGCTCAGATCTTTTCTCCATTTGCAGCTCGGTCGAATCTCTCCCCTTCATCTGAGCAAGACGCCATATAAACTCTCGCAGCATAATGAGTTTGATCTCGTCCGCCTGTGAGAGCCCCGCAGTCCTTAAGCGGCCCAGCCACTGCTCATCCTCATCTGTTTTCGAAAGTTTAGTGACAGCGCGAGCATCCCACAGCCTCTTAGGTGGCTTCCAGAAGCCGCTCTTCTCTGATTTTGTAGCCCATTGTATTGCCAGTTCAAAGACGTTACGCGAGAGTGACTTTTGTAGCGAATCAAGGAGCTGTAGTTCCGACCAGCCTGGGATAATATCTGGCTTCAAGAAGGGCTTGATCTGCGGGTAAACCGAAACCTTCAGATACGCAGGGCTTAGGAACTCGTTTCCGGCTGCAATAAAATGAGCGGCCGCTTCGCGAATCCACAAGTTAGGATGCATCGTAAAGCGTCCGACAAGGGCGACAAGGTCAACGAAGGCCTCCTTGGTCAAGAGCCCCAGCCGGGTTAGCTCTGCCAACGATTGAAGCGCTCCTTGTACCACAAACTCCTCAGGATCATCCACCGCCTGGATTATGAGAGGTAGGATGAAGCTTTCGAGGGTACTGCTTCCCATAAATGCCGATATGCCCACAACGGTGTCGAAGAAAGCATACCGCAACATCCAGTCACGGTCGTTCAGGTAAGTGTTGAGGTGTGCAATGATAACGTCGTTGGCCTTTGCTACGCCGAAAAAGATGCACAAATCTGGTACTGAGCTGAGAAAGGCTCTTCGAACAAAAGGATTAAGATCTTCGATGAGCATTTTCGTGTGTGTCTCAAAGAGATCCACTAAATCCTGGCGTGAGCTGTCAAACAACCCATCGAGAGCCGTGTTAGTCTCGTTCCCTGGCTCTAGTTCTGGATCCGAAATGGTAACTGATCCATCGGCCCTGAGCGTCGCGGCCATTGCGAGGAACCGGTACGCGGTTGTTGCCAGTTTCCCTAGACATGCTGCGTATGTGGCTCTCACCACAGGGCTCGGAGCATCCTGCGATCCCAGGAGCGCAACCTGCATCCTGGGTAAAATGTACTCGAGGAATATGTGCGAGTTGACGGGGGTGATGATTTTGACCAGATCGAGGAGCTGCGTTAAGGTGCGCAGCGCAGATATCGCAACCCTATCGCATTTGTCGGTCAAGAGTGTCATTAGGTATGGCAAGACTCGATCCAGCTTTGCTTCATCGGTCAACCGTTCAGCGAACGCTAGCATGATGTCACACGCCTTGATCTTTGCGGTCGCATGTGCGGTGTTGCGCAAGGAAGACGCGACCAGGGTAAGGAAGATGAGCGTTCCATCGTCAATGGTAGGTTGCTTGTTCGCCGAGACATAATGTTCAGCATTGGGAATATTGAGTCGGACTGGGAAGAGTCCTAGCCCCAATCTTGGAGACGGCAGGTGATCCTCATATGGGTCATCCCCGTTTTCATAACCAAGGAAATAGGAGATCTTGTCGAAATCGTTCCAGACCCTTTCGATTCTCTGGTCTGCTTCGCCAGTTCTCGAGTTTCCAGTTGAGAGGTCGGTAATCGACTGCATGTACTGATGTAGAAAGTTGTAAAAATAGCCCGGGAACACTTTGTCTTTCCAGAACTCGAGATACTGCTCAGCTGAGTAGCGCTTTTGCGGATCCACCTGGATCATATGGGCGATCATCTCGCGCAAGTCCTTATCAGGGATGCGACTTAGATGTGAAATGGACGGGTCATATTCACCCCTTCGGTACTTGTACAGCTGACTCAGGTTGAATATGGGTGTTTCGAGGAACAGTTCAGCGATAACACATCCGGCGCTGAAGACGTCCATGGCCCATGTGATTTTGGCGTTTGGATCGGGCTCCTGGCCGGGTGGAAGAAACCTCTCCGGGGCCAAGTAGCATGTCCTCCGACCAGACGTGTCGAAGAAGTAGGAGAAGTCGGCGGGGTTGTCTTCCGGCAGCATGACGGGCTTGAAAGACGACGAGAAGTCCGAGATGTAGAGCCAGTTCCAGGACGTCACCAGTGTATTTTCCGTCTTGATGTCGCCATGGTATATCTCTTTGGCGTGGCAGTCGCGCAACGCACACAAGAGCTGGAAAGCCAGCCAACGCTTCTCCATATCCTCGAGAAATGGCCTGGTGCTGAGTCGGTCGTATAGGGAGTTGTAAAAGAACTGTCGAACCAGGTAACCGTTTGTTTCGGTCTCGATCGCTCGCTGATATGGAAGGGCGTTGGGTACGTTGGCAAGCGCATTTCTTTCTCCTGTTGTTTTCCCAGGTCAGAATTGGTTAAAGTCCCATGGAAGAGCTTCGCACACTTTCCACTTACGGATAATCTTCTTTTTGTACCGTACCAGCGACATGGCATATGGCTTGACGAGCACCTTGACAAGCACAACTCCATCATTGTGTCTGGCACGTATACTCTTCATGAAGCGGGCCTGGCCGATGACCTTCTCGTAGGTCAAGTCTGCCAACTCAGGGACATCAATACCGGCTGCCCCTGCTGGAGGGGCAGTCAGTGAGAAACCCTGACCCATGGTTTCGAGGTGTGTAGTAAAGCCAGGAAGCTCAAGCTAACCAGCTACCTAGACGGCGGAATCGTCAGGCTGTTGCGCATCTTGGGACAACCATCCGAGAGTCGACAGGTTGGCGGGGTACGCGGAGGAGGACAGTTCGGACGTGGAAGGTCGCCAATTTATGTCTACACGGATATGGGGTGGTGTTTGTTCTTTGGAGCTTCGCTCGGTGCGACAGGATGACGAAGGCGCAATGTCGTTATCGGTATTACTACAGGACGTCAAAGGGAGCGAGATATGCCAACGGGAGCGTTATCGGCACCTGAAGCGGGTTGTGTAGCGCTAGGTGGTGTTGTCAGCTGCCCTTCCAAGCAGTGTTCCTCTGATTCTTTGGTTGAGAGGAGATCGCGTGGACGTCAAACAGTAATTGTATGTATGCAGTTGTAGGTATGTACGTCTGTATGGTAAATCAATACTGTTCAGGCGGGCAAGTTGTAGCGCCATTGGATGTCACCGGAGCCGGTTACGTATGAGGGTCCCGATAAGATAAGCGCGTCAGCCGCGGAGCTTGGCTGCTTGCTTCAGGGTTGGGCTCTTTGTTCTTCTCAGTGCCTCTCCACTTTTATTGATCGAGCATCCACCCGACCCAGGTGGCCCACTTCAGCCCTATCTCCCAAGTACCTCTTCGTCCTACTAATTACTTACCTCTCGAAATGCCGTGCTCCAACTGCCATCGTAACGGTCGATCCTGTATTATCGATCCGTCGATATCAAACTCGTGTAGCGAGTGTGTGCGCCGCAAGGTTTCCTGCGATGGCGTGGACGTTGGTGCTCAGCGTAAGTGTGATTTGCTGTTTTTGGGTTCTGATTGAGCTGACCTGGTATATTTGAGTCGTGAATGCCATGGAGGAGTGTCATCGTCTGGAGGTGGAGGAGGATAAGCTGTTGCGGGAGATCATGGAGCTTCAGTCTCGCATTTTGCGTACTCGCGAGCAGAAGCGTCATATGCAGAAGAGACAGAAGGAGCTCTTTGATCGTTGTATGGTGGAACATGAGAAGGAGGTGCGGGAGGAACTGGAAGCTTCGGAGAGTTATGAGGAGCATTGAGACGTTGAATATGACGGTAATTGGCAATGGCAAACCATTCATCGCCTACTGATCTAGAAATTTGTGATACAAGACGAGCCTTAATGAGCTACGTACTCGCATCCGAGCTCAACTCCACTACGTCCAGTTGAAAGAAGAAGAGATGCTCTGTGATTATCTTAATGCTTCATCTAAAAAGGTCATAACGTATGATACTGATCTCTCGCCATCCGTACAAATACTCCTTTTTGAGATTCCCCACATCCAGTTATGATAGCCTCCACTCTAGCAAATACACATCGTCCTCCACAAACCGGGGTATATAGAAATTAAGAGAGAAGAAGAAAAAGAGAGAATCGATGCAATACATGGTGGTGCAGTCGTTGTTCGTCAGGCCTCCCGCTCTCAGCGTCTGTTCGTCCAACCAACGAAATAACCGGCGGCAGACGGATGAGAGCTCGAATGTAACAGGTCATTATGAATCGAGTAGTGATAATATGCAGCGAGCGGAGAAAGGGGAGGCCTGTGGGTATCCGGAGTAAAGCTGCAATAAAGCATACCGTGACACCAAGTCCGTACCCAACGTAGTATAGTAGAATACTAGTCGTCGTCTGGACAGTTATTCAAGAGGTCCGTGGCCTCATACACTCAAGTTCCTCTCATGAGTCCGTTCGTTATTATAGTTGGTTCTGAGCACTCTCTCCGGTTTCTGTTGAGCCATCTCCCTCAATCGTTCGCCGCCAATGCTCGGGAAGGCACACGCACACCAGCGGGAATGCCTTGATTTCTCCGCTCACAGGAGGCGACACATCCCGCATCTTTCCAGACGTGTTGGAGACTCCACTGTCTCGCTGGGCTTGACGTCGACTTTCCCATTCCTCAGCAGTCTCATCCACCATGACGCCAGTTGCCCATCCGTCATCCCAAATACCAACGACCTTGAGCATGTCACCCCGTTCAAGGGCGAACTCGTCAGCAGCTCGTGGCTGGTATGCCCAAAGTGTGGCAACCTTATCGCCTGGATGGATCTCGTCCTGAGAATAGTAGTCTTTGAAGAAGGGCAGCTGCTCGCTTTGTTGGCTAGCCACACCACCCTGGGGTGATGACATTGGCGAGACACCGTCTTCGCCTGCGAGAACTGAACCGCTCGACAGAGAGCCACTCCTCTTCATCGTCGGCGGCGGTCGCAGAATGCCAATACCTCGGTCGGATATCGGGCTGTCACGGTATCCGTCGGAAGACGAGTAATCATCGCCTCTCCTTCTGCTGGTTCTACCAACAGCATAGGCGGCTGCCGTTTTCTCGCCAGATCCGGAGCTGAAGTCTCGATGAGAGCGTGGGGACGGGGCATCGCCCTCGAGGGCCGACATCCGGGCTATCCTTCCACCTGGTGGCCCTGCAAATCCATGATTCAGCCCGTCATTCTGTGTCATTTGCGCTGTTGACGGCCCTTTCCTAGCAGGCGTCGGCTGGTTGAGAATGCCGCCGTCCTGGCTGCCACGTCTCCTCCTCCTCAAGAAAATGCACGCGAAGATCAGCAGTGCCAACAGAGCCAAACCCACCACCACGCCCACAACAATTCCAGCAATCGCGCCGCCGGAGAGCCCCTTTTTGCTGCCAGGATCTGTTACCGGTTCGCTGGTCGAACTAGCGCTTGGAACGGGGTTCAAAGTTATTGATGGCGAAATCGAAGGGAGGACGACGTTGGCACATCTGGTCTCGGCGTCGGAATTGTAGCAACACGTATCCGTCGAGTTCGGTCCCCCAGATTTGCAATAACCGCACAAGCCCAAAAGACTGCTCCCGAATCCACAATTGTCGGGCTCATTCGCAATCCCCGAGATACACTCGCCACCAGATAAGGAGTCCGCCGGCAGGGCACACGTAGTAAAGTCGGCTCGAATCTGATCTGAGTAGTTGTCATTTGGATTTTCGCAAAGAGAGCTGTCAGCGACGATGTTAGCTTCGCTGATCGCGTATTGTGCCTGTTGGAGAAGTCAGCAAAGATCGTCCAATGAATGCCGGTCGGTTACTCACGCAAGTATCAGCGCAAATTGGTCGAGAATCTGCTGCTGAAAGGTTACATTGGGTAACGGAATTCTGAATGACGCCGTTACACAATACGGTAGTCGCGAATCGCGCATAGAGCTCTGTCGTATTGGTGAGCTTAATCCCCCCGCAACCGAAAAGATTTTGGAATCTGAGGCGATGTTAATATGGAGTTAACGGGTATTTTAAGGGCCAAGCCGACGTACTTGAGTTGAACGTAGTTCGTCTGTACATAAGACTTTAGCTGCTCATCAAACGTTGCGGTGTCTTTGACGTCCTTCAAGAACGGACTAGCAAGTAAAATAGGTCAGTTTCCAGACATTTCCCCAATTTCATTATAACGTACTATAGTTTCACCAGGTCCTCATCTGTCGATATCGAAGACACTTGGAAGGCAGAGCACGCCGTCGATCCCTTGAGTGGCACGCACTGGGCCATGGCTGTCGGAATTGCTGACAGGAAAGTGAGAAGAAGTGCTTTTGTGCTGCTTTGTCTGCGAGAGACCTTTCTTTTCGCAGAACTGTGATTGATTCTTTTGGTGATGTATGTTGGTGCTAACTTTTGGCGTTGGGCTCCCTTTGCGGCACCGACAACCAACATCTTTTTGCTGGCGTAATCGAGACTGTTGTTGTCGTCCAATCGCGGCCCGGGGATTCTCAACTCCAACCTCCTAACGTCATGTTCTTCCCCAAGTTGTATCATGGCTCATAATCGAAGAACGAAATCAGAAATGAATGACGGTGGGCCCAAAGTTGGGAATATCTGCTGGAGTGAGTGATACTGCTCGAACTAGATCCCTAACCAAAAAGACCCTTGGCGTCGAGATGGTCGGCGACGGCCCGTAACCGAGCTGTGGGCTAGCGTGGGGGAAGTGATCGCAACGATGACCGACGTCCAAGTGGTTGTTGTTGAGATGGCGTATGTTGTGAGGTTTAACTCAAAATGCGAGACTGGGCGGCGTAGGTAGAGATCGGATGGTAGCTGGTACACTATGCGAAAGAGTGGCAGACCGGCAGTGCCTTGCTTTTGAGGAAGGGACAAGTCGGTCGGAAGGGATCGTTGTTGTTTCGGTGGTGTTGTTGTCGCACACTGGTACACAGCGCCGGCTGCAATGCCAATTGGGCCCTCTTTGTCGGCAAGGCAGGGCCGCTTGTACTTGGGTAACCTGGGATGCAGCTGAGTGTTTGGAGTTGAGGCCGGGAGGTCGGTCTGGAGTGGTGAGGTGCCGTCGGGGTGCCTGAAAAAAAAGAAGGTGTGGGTGCCGTCAAAGTCGGGTGGTTGGATGAGGTGCAATGCGCCGACTCCAGTGGAATGCAAGCTTGACAAGGCAAGGCACACCCGTCGCAACAGAAGGGAGAAAGATCAGACACAGGGCGGGTGCAGCTCCATGCGCAGGAACAAGCCGCGCAGATGGTAAAGACGATGGATTGAAATTCGTAGATGGAGGCGGGCGGTGGCCTAGAGGGAAATAGATGATGAGGGCCGATTACCGACCCGACCAAGGTACTCTAGATAGCGCGACGCGACCTAGAATATGCGATCCCAACCTGGAGTTGATGATGGCGGTCCAAGGCGACGGTCTGTGGAGAGGACCGAGCGAGTCACGACGACGATTCCCGGATCGAGAAATCGTGTGTGAAGGGAGGAATTGGAATTGGATTGATGGACAGAATCCAGAACTGAATCTGTCTGTCACTTGCAACTGCCAACTGAGAGAATTGTTGCCCTGACTTTCACTCGGGACTTTGACCCTGACTTGGACACGCCAGGTGGCTGTCCGCGGAATTGGTGCGCAACGGTCCAATCTCGCTTGACGATTGCAGGCTCGAAGGTACTGTGTACGCCTTTCCTTTTCAGGTTAGACAACCGTAGCCCTTTGGCTTAGCACCCCTGTCCGAGGGCAGTTTCCGAAACTCCTTCCCTGCAACATATGCAAAGCTCACAGCTTTGAGACAAGGCAGGAGCTTTGAAGAATTAATCGGCGAAAACAATGGAAGGCGCCGCGCACGAAAATGATCACAGAGATGCTCGATAACCGATTGATAAATGCGATATCATCTATCCATCAGTGCTTTGTGTTCTTCGAGTGTGCTCAACACTGACTGACAGAGGCAACTTGAAGCTTGCCATCTGCCGAACTCTTTGCCGTAGTTGCCGGCTATGAAATATCCCAGCGGCTTTCTAATTTCAACTTTGACAAGTTTTTGGCCACCTTCATCTTTGGGAGATATGAAAAAAATGCACAAATGCTAGCCACCGTTCCATGCCTTTACTTACCCTTGTCACAATCAGGAAGAGGATTTCAAGCCCTTCATGACAAACAGGTATCATTTGGTTAGAGTTCAGAGCACGTGTCGGTTATCGGGCTTCTCCTCCCGTCCCAAAATGAAACGAACGATAAGGTAGCCGCGCGACCTTGAATGGAACCCCTGTCCTACAAGAGTGGGGTTTCGTCTTAATTTTCCCCAGATTTCGGGTGCTGAACGTGGTGCTTAGTCCAGGGGCATTGGTGCTGTGGTCAGTGGTGAAGTCTCGAACAGTCGAACTCCGGCATCCATTCGCTTGATCATCCGTCTGCAACAATGACATTCAATGAACTTCCCGACCTGACATTCATGCCGAACCCATGTGTCTGGATACCATCCACACCAATGATTCGGTAGTCTATACATAGTGAAACAAGAAGCATATAAGCGCCAAGGAGCATAACGAGACTCCCCGTCCTGCCCCTGAGTTACGTTTGGGAAAATCTGTCGACCATCGAATAAGGTATTACAAATAGAGGAGATGTGAGACCATGTTATACAAGTGGAAAGGAGTAATGTTGGCCATCTGTTGATTGATATTGGCCAGAAAATGTCTCCAAACGACGAAGTGTCCATCCGAACTTCCAGTACTGATTGTTGCTACGATCTTACAACCCCCAAAAAACATAACCAAGGACACCAGACCCAACCATTACTCCTCGTCGTCGTCGTCGCCGTAAAGCTCGCGCTACATCATTCAAGAACAATCAGTCAGTAACCATAGATTGACATCATTAATCAACGAAAGGAATAGTCTTGGAATGGTGAGTGGTTCGGTTCGGAAGGTTTCGTGTAAAGTGGTGTGTTCGTGCCAAAGGTGGTAAATCTCCCAAAGGAGAAATTAAAGAAAGCCAGAAACTAAAGGAAGGGGGAAAAGAAAGAAAAGACATACCATAGCCCTAGCCATCCACTCCATATCAGGATCCCCGGCAAGCGCAGTAGTAGCAATACTCTCATGCGTCTCACTAAACGGTAACTCCGGTAGTGACAGAGAAGAGCCACCAATCTTCCGGCTCTTCGACAACAAAGACCAATGCGAGCCCCTCCTGCTACCAGCCGACTCATAGATATGCGGCAAGTCCGCTGTTGTAAAGCCTGCTGCTGCTACTGCCCCCGTCCCCGCGACGCTAGAGGTAGTTGTGCCACCAGTAACACTCTTCGACAACAATGACCAATGCGAACCCCTCCTGCTACCAGCCGACTCATAGATATGCGGCAAGTCAACAGCTGTAAAGCCTGCTACAGCTGCTGTCCCCGTCCCTATCCCCGTCCCCGTTTCCGTCTCCATCGGGACGGCGTCCAGAATCGGATCCAGAACCCCACGACTGACCCTCTTCTTCCCGTTGGTACCGACACTAGAGGTAGTTGTGCCACCAGTAACACCAGCACCACCACCTCCATTGACGGTACTATTGCGCGCCCCCCCTATCCCTGCGCCTACGTTTGCCCCCGCCAGCACTCCATACTCCGACATGGAGTAATGACCCGGCGCGGAGCTGCCGTCGGGGATATGGAACCTCCTGTCAAACCGCGAGAGGAGGTACGTAATCACGACGACGAGCTCGATGCCAAAATTGAAGCAGTAAAACGCCGTCTTCGTCTGCGCCCATGCCGGGTTATTCAACGGGCGGACGACAAAGTTGGTAGCGGCGCGGAAGATGGCGCCCGTCGCGAGCAAGACCGAGGTAAACGTGAGCAAACCGAATTTGGTCCGGAAGTGACCGACGCCGAACCTGTCGATGGGCGTTCTGCGAGGGACCAAGGCAGCCGCTAATACGAGCGGGATAGGCAAGAAGGCAATTACCGCCAAGTAAACGCCGCAGAAGAGCTGGATTCCTTTATCGATGCGATGCGTCCGCCGGTTCAGCGTGAAGAAGGACTGGACGGTTACCGTGATGACCATGGCCAACACGGCAACGATGCTGCTGAACAGGCCCCTAAACAAACGGGTTACCCCCGGCGACCAGCCGAAAAACCGGTGGTAGGCGCGGATCATACGTTGGGCGAAGACGAGGTTGGTGATGAAGAGGAGAAGGACACCGGCGGCAACGAAGATCTGCGAGGCGATGGCGAGGTTCTCGTCGTCCGGGTGGAGTGCCCAGGCTATTCGTGTTGCTAGAGCGACTACCCGGGCCATGCAGAAGCCGAAGAGGAGGCCGGTGAAGAGGAACTTGAAGCCTATACGGCGGTTGATTTGGAAGATGGCCATGTTCATGGCGGCCAGGGCCAGGAACACGACCAGGAGAACGGCACACACTGGGACATCGATGGAGCGGGTGGGCTTGCCGCCTAGCTGAGCTTGATGTGGGAGGTAGGGGGGTCCGTCTGGTTCAGGCTGGAATTGTTCAAGACGGGTCAGCAATAATTTGTTAAAAGTGAAGGGGAGCAAGTGACGATGAAGCGGTTGGGCGGCCAGGATATGGACTGCACCTCCATGGTAGATGGCAAGATAAATGGGAGTTACATACGGGTGCGCTATTCCCTCCCGTCCCCCCGGAACTGCTTGTTGACGAGTTGGACATCCTCTTTCTTCACTTGTCGCTAGGCGAACGTTGACGGAAGATTGAAGACAACAAGAAGTGAAGTGTCCATTGAGTCTACTGTTGCAAAGTATGACTGACGGTTGAGTGATCACATAGCGGGGGTATTCGACTTCAGTTCCTTAAAGAACGAACAGAGAAGCTCAGCTTTACTTTTGTGATCAAGTACACACAAGGTATGACGACATGTGCTCGGCCTGGTGTTCTTGGAGGTTTAACAGAGGACCAGCAAAGATCTGCTGTTGGAGGCCAAACTAGCCATCAGCAAGCAAGGGTCGACAAGCACAGCGCAGTGGCAGAACACTGCATCGCACTTCGAAGCTGGTGATGGCTGGAATGAGAAGTGAAGAAGACCCTGCGCTGATTGGAATCACGTCCTGTTCAGGAGCAGAATCTACCAAGGAGAACGACACTCCCCGAGAGCCTTGACTAAGGGCGGTAGTGTAGAGCACTCGACTTCCTCAGCCTGGGCCAGTTCTGACATCACGATGTGTAACCACCGAAGCACACCAGGTGTCTGAACTGATAGCTGGAGAGCCTTCTTCGCCTGATATGTTGGATGATATCCAGTTCCAAGAATGAACAGCAATAGATATGTGAGTTCGGGAAGCAGGGCGCTTATGCATTGCTTACAGCAGACGACGTATTTGTGATGGAAATCATCACTATTAATGACCGTTGTCAGTACGTTGGTCTTTTCGAAAGTGTCTTGGTTGTTTAGGGTTCATGGTGACTACAATCAACTGGGTCCATCAGCAGATACTAACAGAGACCTGGCATTGATTACAGAGAACACCCACCGAAGACTGGAGTACCTGTGAACAGTTGAGGTGAATCGTAATTGTCACCCAAGATTTGTCGGAAGGAAGCGAGGATATGCACCCACATATGCAGAGCGCCGAATTTCTATCATGGTGACGAGTTATCATGTACTGCACCTCTACCCAATGAGCCGTCTCACCTGTTTAGCTCACCGAGCTCACCGATGAAGTCCAAAATGTCCACTCCTCCTTGGGAAGCCCACTGAGTAAGGAATACCTACGCCGGACAGTGTGGATGGAAGATGAAAATAAGTAGACGTCTCAAGCTGGAAAGCAAGGACGCACTGAATGTATTGATCTAGAACAACTGGTTATCCGATTTCTACATGAACTGACATGATCAAGGCCTGTGTTCCTTTCCGCCTTTACACCTGCATTCCCCAGTTATTCATGAAGTGTACACCAAAGGTAACTAACTGGCTGAGCAAACAAAGAGTAAGACATGACTCCGTTTCGAAGACGCTGGGCTTTGTTGTTGAGCCCGATGTTCGATACATTACTTGTCTAATCATGTCTCGCGAAACACAATGCTCACTATACGAACATGTGTCATGGGAATCGTGTCCTGGCTCCATCTAGCGCGGAGCTTATATATGGTTGCGCGAAGAAATGTATCATTAAGACTTTTCGCTCTTCTATGTCCCTTATTCTTTCTTCTCAGGGCATAACACAATGAGGCGAAGGCAGGCTTAATCATTAAAGGAAGTAATCGGGAGTTCCTGTGGATCATAGCATCAGTAAAAGGCACCATCAAAAGAATTGGTGAGTTTCGGGGAGTAGATGGAATTGGAATCTTACGTCTCGAGACCATAGGTTCGCCAGCCCTAGGGCACGGGTCGAATTGCAGGCTAGCATTTTGGTTAGCGACACTAGGCAGAGCAGCGTGAAATGCTTCACGGAGGGTATAGGAGAACGTACAATGTGTATTTCAGGTGTTCATCAATTTCCATGATGGCGGCTTGGTTACCGCACCTGTAGCAGTAGTTGGGTGCTGTATGACCATGTTAGAAATGTCCAAGGGGAACAACAGGTAGGTCTGGAAGGAGTCTGCTTACCCGAGAATATGGTGACAACGTTCCTGTCTTGGGACCAGTTGTAACCCTCCATCACAAGCTGATGCGCTCTGGCAATAAGCGTCAAACCGTTGTTGTGGTTGAAAGCTTCCGAGATATCCTGGCCGAAGGTATAGCCTGCACCACGGGGCGAGATTCCCCATCCGCAACGGTCATCGGGATCCGACCACAGCAGGTCGCACATGGGGCCCTCGTGGGGAACCTCCTGGATTCTGTCGAGCGCTCTGATGTTGTCGAGCGTGTCGATGCTAGGGGAAAGACCGCCGTGCAAGCAGAAGATTTGGTTGTCAATCAGGGCGGTGAGAGGAAGATAGTCGAAAAGATCGGTAAAGTACTTCCAGACGTTGGCATTACCATACTTGCGCAGGCACTCGTCGTAGAAGCCGTATACTTGTGTGATCTGGCGCGACTCGTGGTTGCCGCGCAAAATGGTGATGCGGTTGGGGTATCGGATCTTGAGGGCGACGAGCAAAGTAACAGTCTCAACTGAGTAATATCCACGATCGACATAATCACCTATACATCCGGACGGCTCACATTAGCGGGACTGGTCATGGTCTGACGGAAGTTGCTAAGGTTGGAGGCATACCCATGAATAGATAGTTTGTGTCCGGGTTCGAACCTCCGATCTTGAAGAGCTCCATCAAGTCATGGAACTGACCGTGGATATCTCCACAAACGGTAACGGGGCATTTCTGTCATCAGTCAGCGCGCCTGGCCAGTTGGGTAGAAGACGAATGTTGGCGAAACAGGACACATACCACCGGCTGAACGTTGGACTCGTCTTGGAGGACTTCGCGTGCCTATAATCAATCATCATGTCAGCATCAGACCCCGAACAACGGTGCGCACGCGACCGACAACCCTCGGCAGAACGGCCCTTCCCCACGGTAGCAGCAGCGGCAGCGACAGCGGCAGGGGGGTTTAACGTGCGGGAAGCCAAGCCGGCGCGGGCGCGATCGCGGTGGTAAACGGCGGGCGAAATGATGGCGGGACCGACCTTCTCGCACAATCTCTGGACGTCAGACTCGGCCAACTGCTTGCAGTTCATCAAGCTCTCAATCCAGCCGTCCAGTGTCGGGATGGTGGTTGGCTCGAAGTTCGACGAGGTAAGCTCGGCGGGAACGCGCCCGACATCCTCCATATTCGTATCCATGGTGGTGGGCAATTGGGCTTGGCTATTGCGGGGTTAGGTACGGGCGGTCGTGGGCGATAAGAAGACGGTGATCAGGATGTCGTCGATGTAGCGGGCGGTGATGGTGTTGAAGGCAATGACGTTGTAATCTCTAGGGCGCGGCGCGGATCAAGCAGCAGCTCAAAATTGGGCAGGTGGAGGGTGAGCCGGGTTGCAGGGCAAGGCAGAGTCGCCTCCCGTGTTCTCCTTTTGGACCGCAGGGGGTGAAGATGGACGGGAACTGGTGAGTGGTAGCTGATGCTCCAAATTGACCTTTGTCACTGAATCAAAGACGGCGCTGGGCGTCTAAAGGGCTTGCCGGTCGCCGCGAGAGATGTCCTATCTCGGCAGAGGGGTATACTGGGACGCAATCGAAGACTGGGGTGCAGAAAGTCGTCGTGACGTTTCGCGTGGTGTTGTCCCTTTTTTCGTGTGTCAGGTTGCTAGGTAGAGGTAGCGGATTGTGGTGGTGACGGGACTAGGCTGCTTGGTAAGGTAGGCGAGTTGAAGAGTGGTGGTGGGTGGAGGTGGGTGAGTGGTGCAGTAACCACTGCACACAAACGAAGTGGGCTGGGGCAGCAGCTGAGAGATTGCGCGCCCTTGTAAGGTTGGTCAACGTTCCCCTCTGGCTCCTTGTTAGCAGGTACAATGGAGACCCGCCCGACCCTGCTGGCGCTGTGCTGGTGAAATTGCCAGGGTGAGTTCAGGTTGAAGCCGGGAGGTTGAAGGCTTGGGAGGGAAGCCGGGGCCCAAGCCTGGTCCGGGTGGCTTCCGTCATTTGGCTGGATTGCGCGAGCTGGACAGCAAGCTGGATTCAATGGATCGGATTGTGCCCAGCAGGACTGGGTACCTGGTACCCGCAAATTGAGGAGAGACGGGCGGCCTTGCGCCCAATGTCAGCAGGTGGAATCCCCGCTAGCGTCCCTGCCTCGCGTGTACTTCTCCACGCATTTATCGGGGTAAGGTACCTCCTGCTAGGGAGGGGCAAGGGGCACACTCGCTTTCACAGTCACAGCCCAACATGATAGGGAACTTTATGATCAATTATGAACAATGGCATACTCGTCAGGTCTACAAAATCGACCGTCTGACTAGGAGGAAACCCCCTAGTCAGGGACAGCGATTCGTACATGGACAGCAATTCGTACCGCGGAAGCGACTTTCACTGGCTACCAAAAACCCTTGGCGCCGAAGTCGCCCACGCTAAGCCGATTAGCGGGCTTACCTGCATATGAATATGGTTTAGGTGCATCTTACCTCTCCGAGCTGAATGTCAGATGCATGCACACCATATACCGTCTCGGTACAAGAATCCGGTACGAATCGCTGTCCATGTACGAATCGCTGTCCCTGACTAGTGGCTCGCCCGCTAGTCAGACGGTCGATTTTGTAGACCTGACGAGTACTTGATGGCTTCAGTCTCATCCTGGGGACCACGATTCCGAGCACCGTGATCTGAAGGCACATTCAGCTCTAGGCCCTGGATCCGGTACTAATGCCCATACTTCCCTCATCATTGATATACTACGATTACTTTAGCTTGCTCTTTATATATACCTCCAAGATCACTTCACTAGATCAACTGTCTTCATAAATTAGGTCCATCAGAGCTCAGGACAGACCCAGCCCAACCGGAGCACCTCCAGACACTGTAGCAGATGTACCAACATTCCGCCCAACCAGGTTCCGAAAGTCAAGACCAACGTCGGAGAGCATGCTCGCGTGCTCCTTTGCCCTGTTCACACACTCGGTCCATACCTCGCCGCCCTCCTCCGCACTGCTGAGCTGTCTAGCTAGGATGACGTTGAAGGCGTCGACTTCCTCCTTGGCCCACTTGACGCACGCACTCATCATTGGCGGTGGGAAGCAACTCTGGAAGCAAATAACCGTGTTCCGGATGACCGTGAAGTAGACGAATGAGATCTCCCAGATATACAGGTGAAGATCTCCCTGGAATATGCATTGCCTACTGGGCGTTAGTCCAATGCCTATAAAGTAACATGTCTTACTGGTTGGGGCAAACATACCTTGATCGCTTTTGAATGACCTCGCTTCGGGCCTCAAGGTAGGCTTCCCGCGCTCTATCCTCGAAGCCCAACCTGACCAACCACGTCACGTTCCTCTTGGTCTTTTTCTGGTCATTGTGGCTGTTCATCAGCTCACGAACAACCAATGTCGCAAGCCTGGCGCATCTCTCATCAACCTTGAACGAGATAAAGTCCTGTGCGATCATGTTGTTCTTCAGACCGGAGGCAAGGTTTTTCAACATCTCGATTCGCGCAACGGCTGGCTCGATTTGCTGAAGGGCAATGTTGATGTCTAGCTCATCCATTTGGCTCTCAACCCAGCGCAGATTCTGTTGTTTTCCATCGACCTCGATGAGCATGTCCTTGATATCGGATAGGGTCTCCAGAAGCTCCGTCTTTTGGAGTAGACCGGGATCGCGTGAGGCAAAGTAGTTGATCGTTTCTTTCGCCTTATTAGTCGCATCGCGTTCTGATTGAAGGTTCCTGCGTAATTCCTCCACCGTCTTCCGAATATTGAGCATCAAAGTCGTCTTCTCGGGATCCTCGGGCTTCTCGGTTCTGTAAATGAAGGACTCGTTCTGGCCACCACCTCTGACCATGATCGCATCAGCAAGCTTATTACGGCCATTTGACGAGTCTCCGGTTCCAGCCATGTCAACAACCTCAACGTCCAAGAGATGCCAGCAACGGTCAGCAACGAGCTTCGTCATGGGCCCGCGTGCATCCGCTCCAGGAGCGTCAACCTTTCTCTTCTTGCGCGAAGCAATCAACAGATGATCGTTGAGCAGAAATATTTGCATGGATCGCCTCGACTTGTAGGTGGCGTTATCTAGTTCAACCCATGGGCCTGCATTCTGAACAACATGGCGGCCTTGTGAGTTGGGTAAGAACTTTTGTGATCCTTCGACAGTTTTGTATAGAGTCTATCGTTATGTTTAGCAATGGTAAGAGTGATTGCGAGTTTGTGGATAATACTGACTTGCATCTGAGCACTCCATAAGGCGGTTCGGTCAGTGATGGAGCTTCGCCTGTCTCTCTTACTCATTGAGAACTCGGGTCCCAACCCCCCAGAACTATCGGCGCTGTTGGACGAAGCCCGAAGGGCGGTAGTGTTCGTCTTAAGTTCCGACATAAGGTTGCGGAGGGTACGCATCTCTCCCTTAAGTTTCTCGGCCTCCTTGCTGATTTTGATAAACTGCGTGCGGTTCTGATAAACATTTTGCTGAAGGTCGGCAGCTGCTCGAGCCTTGAGCTGTTTCAAAGCGTCCTCGTAGTCCCGTATCTCGTCTTCGGTTGCTTCACCGAGAACCTCGGCCACATCTAGTAGCAAGTCAGCAAATCGATCCGTTACCCCTATCCTTGTCCAACCCTCCTGACTTACACTGCTCGGGCGCAAAGTTAGGGTCTCTCAGAGTTCGTATGTCCACCCTAGGTGGTTCCCTTCCCGCGGGTCCAAGCCCTCCAGCATCTCCTCCTCTAGATGGTGGTGGGCCGACCTGGGCTTGCATGTACTTTTCAAAGTCCGGAAGAGCAGGCATCGGATTTGAAGACGGGTCAAAGTCGGTCGGCATATGACCGAAGCGAGTCGAATATCGCTTCTTAACCAAATCTGATGTCTATCAGGAGTAACAGATACACAAGTTAGCCCCAACATTCTAGCCATCGGCGTTGCTGATGAGATGGAGCTCCTCTTACCTTGCCGCCCGGGGGCGGAGGCCGGGGCCGCATCGTGCGTGGCTCGTCGGCCATTGTGGCCCCCGGAGGGAGTTGAGGTGGTTGAGGCATGCCATTGTCTTGTGGTATCGGAGCCGAGATCTGCCTGGGAGAACTGATGGTTGGGCGGTTCTTCCGCTTGCCACCGCTTCTCAGCGATATCTTGGATCGTTCTTCGGACATGATGGTGGTCGCTACTCGTTAATCACCCGTCGGGACATGGGACTCGAAGGAAGAGGTCGCGTTGTTGTCGTCAAAGCTATCGCACGGCTAGGTACCGGCATACAGATACTGGTGAGGCGTCGGCGATCGGGAGGGCAAGAGTCGCGGAACGACAGACCACCGGATTTGACTGTGGTTGTTGATAGCTTCAAAAGTGACAGACAAGTGACGACCTCCAGGCCGATGGCAATGGGAAACGTCTCCGCAGTCCGGATGGACACACCCCCTGGAAAGCGGGTACCTGTACGTACCTGGCCGTGGACGTCCCTTCTGTAACCCCGGCCGTTGCCAGCGCCGTGGAAAGCCATTGGCTCGTGCACCACTGTTCAAGTCCTTGCTAGCGTCATTGGCCCGTGAGCTTGTCGGTAACGCGGAGTGCAGTTTGAAAAAATATCACATCGACAATCGCGTGTTGAAGGAATCCAAGTTGGAACAATCTCAAGAACAACAGTTCGTGTAGTGTACGGGTACGATAATTACGGTATGTGCAATGTCATGACCTGCAGCCTTCCGTTACCTCCAACCATCTTCGGGAGCGCTGTTGATGTTGCTTGTGAACCTTCCCGTGGAGCCCGTGTCATATACTGACCCCCACTTGCAGCAGTCTTTCAAGAAATCGAGAGAGGCTTATATCCATCGCATCTTTCCCTACTATTATAATTCTTCTCTCTTGACTCTCCCCCGCATCCACCATCACCGGTCTAAACCACCACAACCAGCCAACAAGATGCCGTCGCAAGCCGTCACCTACACCACCGCTGCCGTTGCGGCCGTCGCCACGGGTTTCCTCGGTTAGTTTGCACTTCGATCACAACGTCACCAATGTCTCGAGAAAGTAAACATTAGTCGCTGATGCCTTGCGCTCCCCTACCTTCCAGCCTACGCCGTCTACTTCGACTACAAGAGGCGCAATGACCCCGAGTTCAGGAGACAGCTCAGGCGCAGCGCCAGGCGACAGGCTCGCCAGGAGAAGGAATACGCCGAGTTGGGCCAGCAGGCCCAGAGACAACGGGTCAGGCAAATGGTTGACGAGGCCAAGGAGGAGGGCTTCCCTACCACTTCGGACGAGAAGGAGGCCTACTTCCTCGAGCAGGTCCAGGCTGGCGAGATCTTGGGTCAGGATCGTAAGTGTTTTGCCAATCAAGCGAGAAGAAGGGACTCCCGGAACATGTGACGGCTAACAACTCCGTCCGTAACAGCCACCAAGGCCGTCGATGCCGCCCTCTCTTTCTACAAGGCCCTCAAGGTCTACCCCACGCCCGGCGACCTCATCAGCATCTACGACAAGACCGTCGCCAAGGTAAGAGGAATACACCTGGTAACACGGGTGGCATGTTTACTGATCCGAAGGACAACAGCCCATCCTCGACATCCTCGCCGAGATGATTGCCTACGACCCCAGTCTCAAGATTGGCACCAACTACACCGGCGGCGTCGACGTTGCCGAGCTCATGCGCGAGATGGCCTCCGCCCCTGGTGTCGGCCTCGACTAAGCAAGTCCACACCATAAAACAGCAAGAAGCAAAACGCTAGGGAGAACATCAATAGCTCACCTCGCAAAGTCCGGAGAGGTGTCAGTTAATGTTGTGTCCCCCGCAGTCCCGTAAGGGGGTTAGTAGGGGGGGTTGGTGGTTATGGCTGTTGGAAAACGGCGCGCGTGACGCAAACCAACGATGGCTTTTGTGGACGAAATGAAGAAAGCTAGGAATAGTGGAAACAGGACGAGCATTCCAACGGACGACCCCCGATCGATTTATACCCAGCCAGCTAGAAGAAAAAGGGGAGACTAGCGGTCCTATATGCTTGTCTGACACTTACTCCCCTCCCCCTCCCTCTCCCTTGCACCACACTTCGGCTCTCTCCCCGGTCAGTGTATCTCTCTCACATCACTTACTCTTGCACCCCCAACAGGTCAGCAGGTTTACGGGCACTACACTCCCTCCCTCATCACTGGCTGGCTAGTATCTCGACGAGCGTTTCAGGTTCGAACGCTCACCCGGACTATCTGCCTACCACATTGTACATTATTTCTGTTCTGTTCTGTTCATGTTCCGGAGACGCGCGGGATGGGTGATGCGTCGTCTCCTATTTTATCCTGTAGCATCATGTACATAGCGAAACCGGGGTCCCATCAGGAAAACGGACGGTGATTTCAGCATACGCATACGGGACAGGCAGGTACGGGGTATGCAGGCCATTATCAGGGGTGCTTAAATGAGACAAAGAACGTAAAAAAGACATGTCCAAACCATATATCCGATCCTTTCACCAGAAGACGCAAACAATCGGCAACATCAAACGAAAATTTACATCATGTATGGCATTATGTGTACGTTATATATACCCCTAAATACCTATCATTTTTGTTTACCATGCTCATCCTCATCTCTATGGAGCCTCAATCGGCCTACCCTTTCTATCCACCCTCTGATCCCTAGGATCAAACCCGCCGTTACCCCAAGTCGCCCACTCGGGCGTCGCAGCGCCCATGTAGTCCTCAGGGGTAAAGTCGCCATCGGGACCCTTCTCCTCAAGCAGGTTGAAGAACTTCTCATAGTCAATAAGCGTATGCCACTTGCCGTCGACGTTGAACCGCTCGCTAGCCAGCAAGATGCAGCAGCTGTGCGCGTGCTCGGCCGCGATGCCGTACTTGAGGCCCCTCTTGTTCAGCGCCTTGTTGAGCGCGACAACAAAGTCGCACACCTCCTGGTAAAAGGGCACGTTGGCCATGGTCAGACCCGCGCTGCCGGCCGTCGACGTGCCGCAGTACGTGACGCCCTTGATCTCAACGAAGCAAGGGAGACCCTTCTCGACCAGGTCCGCGTACCCCTCCACCTCGTCCTCGAGGTTGAAGTCCTTGACCAGCGTGAGGCGGAAGACGGTGCGCTGGCGGAAGCGGCGCTCGCGCAGGATGTCGAGGCAGCGCTGGAAGCGCTCCCAGAAGTCGCGGTGCAAGGGCCGGTCGATGCGGCGCAGGGACTCCTTGTTGGAGGCGTCGATGCTGACGTACAGCTGCGTGACGTGCTGCAAAGCGGCGAGTTGGTCCGGATGCTGGGCGTTGCACACCAGGAACGAGGAGATGCGCTCTTTGTGCAGCATGCCGAGGAACTCGTTGATGTACGGGTAGAAGATGGGCTCGCCGACAAGCGAGAGGGCGCAGTGCCGGATGCGCATGGCCTCGGCGAAGCGCTCGGCGCGCACGCCGGGCACGCCGCGCATCATCTTGATCTTCTTGTAGTGGTTCTCCTTGACGCCGTTGAAGATGAGGTCGGGAGGGTCGACGACCCAGCGCCAGGATGTGCCCACTGGGTTGGTGCCGTGACGCCAGCAAAAGACGCACTTGTTGGAGCAGGAGAGCGAGGGGGTAGTTTCCATGCACTGGTGAGAGTTGATGCCGTAGAAGGAGTACTTGTAGCAGGAGCCGCGGCCGCGGAGGGCGGACTTGGTCCAACGGCAGATCTTGACGCCGGAGTGAGAGCCGACAATGGCGTAGCCTTGCTTGGTCAGAGAGGTGTACGTAGGCGAGCCTTTGGGCACCATCTCCTTAACGGTAACGGTCGCTGTCTTCCTTGCGCGGACGGTCTTTCCGGTCTTTCCGAAGTCGGTGAAGTCGATCGCAATCGGCGCGGCTTGTCCATCTCCCTGTGACTGTTTGATGATGCGTCCCAAATCCTCGACGTCTTCGAGGGTCTTCTTCGACTCGTACTCCTCGTACACAACCTCACCGTCATCTTCCGCGATATCTTCGTCGTCGCTTTCGATGGGCTCACCAGAACCGGGAACGCCCTCTCCAAGACTGCCAGTTTGCTCGATCATCTTGAGAACGTCCACCACTCCGGTTTGCCACTCTGACAGTCTCTCCTTACCATCCCGTTTGTAGTCGCCCATGCCGAGAGGGAATGCGCGCTTGCGCCCTGTAAGCTTGGCCATCCACTTGTCCACCTGCTTGGCCTGCACGCAGTAGCCCTCCTCCTCCGTAGGCCATCCATCTCTATCGCCATATCCAAACACTGAGTATCCAAGAAGCGGCGCCAGCGGGGATGTATCGATGCGGAAGTCGTGATGTGTCTCGTCCAAGTGCGCAAGGAAGGTGTCGTTGATGGAATCGATGTTATAGCTGGGAATGATAAGCAGGTAGAAGTAGTCGACCGGACCGTCCGCAGCAGCCTTCGGAGTGGAAAGGAAATATTCGTCGTAGTCGATTTCGGCGAGGTCTAGCACCTGGGGGGCCAAAAAGTTGCTCTCAGCCTTGCTCTCGGCGTCGGATTGACCAACGAGCAAGTCTCCGAGTTCCTTTGCGAAATCCTTGGTGTACCGTTCCGTGTTGCCCGTGAGTGACGAGTAGAAGACGAGGACCTGAATCTTTCGCGGTCCTTCGCTTTCGCTACCGCTGTCGTTGCCATTCGCCCCCTTCTTCGTGCGGACCTTGTCACCTTTTATCCGCTTTGGGCCACCATTGGAAGCCTTCTCCTTCTTGGTGGTCTCCACACCAGTCTTCTTGTCCTTGATTTCCTTCTCAACAAGCGCAGTTTCCTTCGTCTTCTTGTCAGTTTCGTAGATCGTGGGCAGGACGAGCAGCTCTTGTCTCGGTTCCGAATAGAGATGGAGGTACGTCCTCAGTAGACCCAATAGAAAAACGGTCGAGAGTAGGATTGGGATCCGGTGTTCGTGCCACAGTTCCACGGCATCTGATGTAGGTCGGAGCAGAGTGTACAATTAGCTTTCGCGAACCAATGCGACTCCGGTGTCACCCCAATGTCGTCCACTTATGCGCGCGAGCACGAGAACCGAAAGAGACAAAAACGTTTCGAGAAGGGATGACATACAGCGAGCAACCTCGGCGACGGCCGTCGGGTCCAGACCCGGTATTTCGAAAGCCATGACTGGCCTGGTGTTGTTGGTTTCCCTGGAAGGGAGAGGTTACGACATACGCAACCGAGTTCTGTGAATGTTTGCTGTTGCAAAACCACATACAAAGCTGAAGGCTCTAATTGTGAAAGATTTTGGGCCCCTCCAGCGCACAGTGGAAAATCTTGCCCCGCACTTAGGTAAGATGGACTCGAGCTACGAAAAAGAACGGGGCCTTTCAAGATCCCTGCAAAGTCATTGTGGAGTTGCTGTTTTAGCGCTATGCGGGGCCGAGACCCAGGGGCGTGTATCGAACACCACCAGACTTCCCAAGTTCACAGACTCTTCATCACGAGAGTAAGGACAGCATTGCTTCAGTTCAAGAATGTGCGCCTTTTCGTGCCATGAAGGATGGTACTCACCGTGTACACTGCATGCCTAATTTCCCTTGACTGTTATACTGCGCTTAAACTCAACCTTTGTGCAAGCAGGACCCGTATCATTCAACTTACCAAGAGGTTGTATTTCATATGACGCCGACCCAATGACACGCTCAAAATTTATCCAACAAAAATATATTGAAGAGATCTACCAGAAAATAACAAGGTGATCATACGGAGCTCTTACCGTCCGTTACCAGCTGCTTCACCACCAAGCATCGTGACGTCCTCATCACTTTCCTCCTTCTCCACCTCATCCACCACCGGTATTCCATCGCCTTGTCTTCCACGACTCCCCGACCCTTCAGCCTGAACAACACGCCTATACGTCCCCAAACCATCCTCAGCCAAACCTTCGGCCGAGCCACCCACGGAAGCAGCATCATTGCTGCCACTGCCAGTACCATGTCCATCATCTCCATCCTGTTTCGTGTCACTACTCCCTTGGCCTTCGCTCTCATCTTTCCGTCCGATAATCACGTTCCCCGCAACCAGCATAGCGGCGCCCACCCACCACATAGGCGGTAACGCCTCAGAGAAGATGACAAACCCGAGCATGGCGGTGATGACAAAGTTGGACGAGGTGTTCATGATGGAGACCTGTGTTGTGGAATGACCGCGTGCGAGGGCTTGGGTGAAGAGGGTCCACATCTGTGAGAGAGAGAGAAAAGGTGAGTAAGGATGGGATGAACAAAAGGTGAGCGAGCTGGTGAAGAGAGGCTTGACTTACTACACCGTTGAATACTAGATTGAGACCGAAGAAGATCTTATCATCGTAAAAAATATCAGATCAGCTCATTGTCTCTTCACCTCAGTAGTAGCACGTAAACGGTCAGGTCACAACTGCACTTACACCTCTCACAATAACCTCAATCATCTTCTCTTCCTCTGAAAGATGCAGTAGTCTAGCAATCGCCTGAGAGAAGCTCGAGGTAAGTTCCGTAGTTGTCCTAAATTTTTCAACACTTATTAGCCTCCCAAGTCATCACCTAAACTACGATCAACCACGACAATAAGCTCAATAAATAGTAAACTTACAACTTCGCAAAAGCTCCATTAAACGCAGCACACGCTCCACTAGCCATGGCGAGCACAATCCACTGATTCCGACTTGCCCAAGTCGTCTTTATGGGTTCAGCGGCAGAATCCGCATCAGTAGCTTGTTGGGCACGCCCGCCATCCAACAACGGCCTCCGTTCGTCATCCGCCTGTAGGTGCTGCTGAGCGAAATCCATCTTTTTAGCAGCAGGTGGCCTTCCTCTCCTTTTCACAGCCGGTTTAGGTTGTTGTTGTTCCGTCGATGTCGATGTAGCAAGTGCTGCTGCCGATGATGAAGGAGGCAAGTCTGTTGAGAATGAGGAGGATGATGATGATGATAATGAGTCGGTTGCAGTGGCGCCGGCGGGGTTGAGGCGGGCGCTGCGGCGTGGTGGCATTGTTGCGGGCAACGGAGGGAGTTTTAGTTCTGATCCGAACGTGTAATGACCGAAAACAAGGCGAAAGCCGAATGCGGCGCGGGGCGAACGGGGCGAAAGGGGACGGGAACCGGAAGAAGTGGGTTCTGCCGGGCGGGTTCCCCGGGCGATCTCTGTTGTTTCGAAAATTCCGGGTTGCCAGCTCTCTGGGCTGACGGATGGTTGATGCAGGTTTCAGGAGCTTGCCCAAGAAAGTGCAGACGACGGTACACGTATTTAGCCTGCTGCCCTGGCTTTTTTTGTAGCGAGGTTGATTGGCCAGGGTTGAAGGTGGTATCATGCGCCCCCTTTTAGTCCAGCAGCGCTGCGGCAGCCTGTGGTGATGACATTTGAATGACTCCTGCTACAAGAAAATCATAGCTCGTAATGAGAAGCAGATTCATGTCTTTATCAAGCATGGAACACATGTTATTCACTCATTATTCACCACGTGATTATAGGCACATTGTAAGGATCAATCTTTATATCCCCAAAGGTTGAACGAAAGCCATTAGATGCAGGCGTGAGCCCATAAACTATCTCGATTTATAGAAACCGGAATGGGATATACTGTGAAAAACTGTCCCCTTTGATCGTTCATCGAGATTCCTGATGCCCAAATTTCGCAAGAAAAAAAAAACGCCGTTCGTATGCGATCCGATGATGTCTGCTGCATTCCCGAACCCAACGCCAGCTCCTGTCTGATGTGTGATGAAGCCAAATCATAATGAAAGCCTGAAAGCAAAACCATAAAGCAACCGTTCCAGCGCAAGCTAAATGCATCCCGCGAAAAAGCCGTTGGTATCGTTTGGACGTTTCCTCCCGCCCACTCTTGAGGAGCTCGCCCGTCTCGAAGTAGCGTGATGATACTGCGTGCTGTGCGATGGTTGCCGCATCCTCGATGCTCCTCTTTAACGGGATAATCGAAAGTGCCGCCCTCTTGACCTAGAGGTAGGATTCCTTTTCGAATTAAGGTTCCTGTTCGACGAGGCGTGAACTGGTAGACCCCTCCGCCTTGCCCTGTTTTCGATCGCCTCCGTTCTACTTTTCGTCACTGCGCTTCGCGCTGCAGCTCACGATCTTGACCTTGTCTGCTGTAACCACTGACTGACCACCATCCATCTTGAAGGTGACGTTCTTGATGAGGAAAGTCCAGACTTCGTCGCAGAAGCGATAGGTGTCAAGAGATCCCTGTATGTTACTCGCCGGCAAGATGCCAGCAACAGTTAGTCAACCAGCTTTCTTCGTAGTACAGTGTGATGAGGTGCTCTAGCACACGGGAACGGAGAGGGTATGAATAAGATGTATTGGTTCTGTATTTCTGTCCAAAATGCACATGAGGTCCTGACAAGTGAAGTCCTTCGGTATGACCGTTGGAGCGAATGGGAGTATCCATGGGTCATGCAAGATCCAAAAAAGTAAGATATTCACCTTGAAGGTCAAACGAGCCTTGACTTTCTCATTGAGAGCCTCAGTAATAACTCGATCGAACTGCATGAGGACCTTCATCGCGAGTTGAGGATCCATGCGTTCCGCCCCAATGAGGTCGTCGAGTGCATCGGTCAGGGTCGTCCCAAGACTGGAAAGGGTTAGCATACAGAGTGTCCTCTATAAGTTGAGGGCGTAGTCAGCGCCCCAGGAGCCCTGCAAAGGGCCACGGTGAGACTGGCAATATGTACCTGCCATGGCGATACAAATCGTAATAGTTGGTGTTCCCGTTGGCCGCCATCTTGTATTTTTATTTCGATTTACTTGAGATGCACGGCGACGTTCAGGGCGGCGACGGCGATGATAAATCGTTGTTTGTTGATGAAAAGGTGAAGGTTGCTTAAATAGTCTGGGAGAAGGAAGAGGAAGGGGACAGTGGCTGAGTCAGCAGAAGGCGTAGGCAGCGTCATCAGTCACGTGTGGCCTAAGTTATAGCGCTGTCGCGGTGGCACGGGTGGCTGGCCGTCACTGGACGCAGTGCCTGGGATGAAAGTGGTGGGAAGGTACGTAGCGAATTGGCGCGTTGGACGGCCCATCAATCCACCATCCACCACCCATGAACATCGAGGTTCCCAGCTAGCACCCAAACGACGATAACAACGACGACGACGACGACGGCTGGCTCCAAGAAGGTCGCACCGGATTCAGTCAGATTCTATCGAAACCTACATTGCTCGACAAACACCACACATCCGCAAACATGAGCTTGACGTATGGTGCCGGCGGCATAGGGACGTCTCTGGCCGTCATTGGAGCTTGTGAGTATATGGCATCTTGGGAATGGCTTGACTGAGGCTATGCGCCTGTATCTTTCCATATTGCCGTGGCTAACAAGTTTTTTACAGACATGCTCTTTACCGGCAGCGGCGAGGCGTTCAATGTAGGCTTCACGAATCTCCCAACAATACCCACTCGACGTCATCCTCTGACACCCATGGAATCTGAATAGGTCGGAGCTTTCCTCGAATCGGTATCACCATACGCCTGGGCGGATCTGGGTATCGCGCTTTGCATAGGTCTTTCCGTGGTGGGCGCGGCATGGTACGTTTTGGAAAAAGGGCTACATCCATTCCCCAACTGGCGCATGGCGCCAGCTATGGCTAGCCAAGATGTTGGGCTAACCACCGGTTGATCTACGAACAGGGGCATCTTCATCACCGGTTCCTCCATTCTCGGTGGAGGTGTCAAGGCGCCACGAATCCGGACCAAGAACCTGATCTCCATCATCTTCTGCGAGGTCGTCGCCATCTACGGCGTCATCATGGCCATCGTGTTCTCCGCTAAGCTCCAACCGGTCCACGGGGAACAATACTACTCGGGTGACAGCTACTACACAGGCTTTGCGCTGTTCTGGGCCGGCCTGACTGTTGGCATGTGCAACCTGGTGTGCGGTGTTGCCGTCGGTATCAATGGCAGTGGTGCTGCGTTGGCGGATGCTGCTGACCCTACACTGTAAGTTTGTTGTTGTTGCGAACTGGATAGAGAGGTCGTCAAGTCATATTACTAACGTGTCGTTCTTTATAACAGCTTCGTCAAGATCCTGGTTATTGAAATCTTCAGCTCCGTCTTGGGTCTTTTCGGCCTCATCGTTGGCCTGCTTGTTTCCGGCAAGGCCCCCGATTTCGGTAGCACACAGTAGAGATGGATTAGAAAGGAGAAGAGGCATTCCTTGCTTTCTTTTCTCTCATGCATCTTGGTATGCACACAACACAACACAACACAACTTCTTCGGGCTGCTAGCAATCAGCAGGCTTTTTGACGCTAGCTAGCGGACGTGTCTAAGTCTATGTTCAAGGTCACATTGTCACCGGCGTTTATTGGAAGAGGCATTGGGATGGTTAAACGATTAGGGCGCGGTCGGCATCATCGCACATGAACAGAGACGGGGGTAGAAGCTTTCAAATTGTTTTTGTACAAACATGAAAAAGAGGTCAGTATCGTTATGGAGTTCATTAACATGTTCATTTGTCTGGGGCTGTGACCCTTGTCTGTTATATATGTCATGTTCTATCATCACTTACACATCACTTCGTAAACCGCCCATAAGCAATGCTTCCACCTTGGCCCCCTTCCGCAACGGCTCTGGACCGCTAGGCAAGGCGAGAAGCGCGTTCGCCCCTTTCATGCTTCCTACCATCGAGCTTCTCTGTCCTCCTGTGCTGACCGCGGTGAGCACTCCGTCCCTGTTCACAGAGACAATGGCCCGGTGATACTCGGGTCTAGATCCATCGAGCGAGAAATCATGGCCCAGTGTCACAGGCACCTTTGGCAAGCCAGGTGGTGAGATGCCCGACATTTGGTGCAGGGACGGCAGCACAAACAAGTGAAACGTAACCAAGGCCGATGCCGGATTACCTGGTAGCGAGAAGATCACCTTGGAGACCCTCTCGCCGTCGTTATCTTTTACCGGAACGGTCGCAAACGTGGTGGGTTTGCCGGGCTTCATTGCCACCCGACCAAAGTGAATCGTCCCGCCCAACGAACGCTCTATCGTCGGCTTGAGGAGATCCAGCTCGCCCATGGACACTCCGCCCGTCGTGATAACAACGTCAACCTGCCTCATCGCCTGCCGCAGCGTCTCCTCCAAGGTTCCAGCCTTGTCTCGCGCCACTCCAAGATCAATCACCTCGTACCCCCAATCTCTCGCCGCCGAGATAAGCGTTGGCCGGTTCGTATCGCGCACCTCGCCCAGCCGCAAGTCTCCCGGGCGGTCATGGTCCACAATCTCATCACCCGTAGACAAAACGCCAATAACAGGACGTCGGTACACCTGCACCTCACCAACGCCCATAGCAGCCAGTAAACCGATCTCACCACCCACAGCAGACACCTGATCCCCCTTCCCCAGAATCAGTTGCCCCTGCTTAATATCGCTGCCCACCTCCCTAACATTCTCGCCTTCCCGAACTTTATCCGCCGCAAGAATCTCCACCTCCTTCTCCTCCTCCACACCATCCTCCTCCGTCTTGGACGTCGACACCAACACCGTATCCTCCACCATAATAACCGACGTCGCACCAGGAGGCAGGGGCGCGCCCGTGGTGATCCGCGCGATCTCGCCCTCCTTGAGCGTCGGCATTTTTTCTCCATCTCCAGGAGCGGCGTGCGAGACCGAGACGACGGGATACACGCCGCGCATGTTCCCGTCTTGGGGCACGACGACCGCGTATCCGTCGACGATGCTGGCGCGGAAGGCGGGCACGTTTTCGCGCGCTGAAACGTCCTGCGCCAGAACGGCGCCGACGAGCGAGCTGTTGACTTTGGAGGTGACGATTTGTGGGGCGGGCGTGTGTTGCGCTATTTGGGAGAGCGCTTCGGAGACGGAGAGCATCGGGTAGGGAGACTCGCGGTGGCGGCGGCTGGGGCCGAGGCTGGGATCGTTGGATTTGGGGTTTTCGGAGGGGGTGGTGTGCCGGACTAGGCCGGCGTGGCCGTGGCCGTGATTGTGGTTGTGATTGTGGTTATGGCCGTGGCCATGGGCACCGCAACCTCCTCCTCCTCCTCCTCCTCCTCCTCCTCCTCCTCCTCCTCCTCCTCCTCTGTGTCCACCGTGGTTGTGATGCTTATGTCCGTGTCCAAGTCCATGAGCACCACCTCCTTCCACTCCCGCCTCCTTCTCCAACCTCTTAACTCCCCCCTTATGCAAAGCTCTAGAATTAGCGCCAGCAGCTTGCAAACAAGCATGCGGCAGCATCTTGATCACCGCCTGCAGATTCTCTTTCGCGCCCTTGGGGGACCCAGGCAGCGTAATGATAACGGTGCCGTTCCTGACGCCAGCTACGGGCCGCGACATCATGGCAAAGGGGGTGACTTGCAGCGAAGCCGTCAGCATGCCGTGCACCAGGCCGGGAGCTTCCTTGTGTAGGAGAGCGGAGACGGCCTCGGGGGTTTGGTCGGACACGGCGAAGCCGGTGCCGCCTGTGGTCACGATGAGGTTGATGTTGTTGTCGCCATCGGTCCAGAGTTTGACTTGCTTTTGGATTTGTACGACATCGTCGGGGACGATTTTGGATTCGTGGACCTCCCATTGCGAACCTTGTTGTTCTTCGAAGACCTGGCGGAGAGTGACGTCGGCCGAGTCCGTTGCGGGGTCTTGGGCTGCTGTGGTTGAGACGATAAGGATGGCTGCTTTGAGCGCTGCTGGAGGAGTACTTGAGGACATGATTGACAATTTGGTACAAGGATGGTTTTTGGGGATACAGTGTAACAGAATCACCCCGTAGCTGCCAATGGTTCACGGGCAAAGCAGAGAAGGATCATGGTGATGGTGTCATGGTGTTGATGTTCCATGGAACTCGGTACGTAACTGATAAGCACCCATGTACGTACCTTATCGGAGCTTCTTGACAGGGGACGATTAGCTAAAACTTGTGGGGAAGTGGAGCGCTGCAGGCAGTGGATCCTTGAGAGCTTGTTTTGTTGTTGCCGGCGGCAACCGATTCGTAACTTTCAGTCTTTGGAAGTTTGATTCCAATTCGCATTTCACTTCCATCTCACAGCATTCTCACGACCTTTACTTAAGGCTACGACAGCACCAACTCAAATCGATCTTTGGTTGAGTTATATCAACAAGCTTGTTCATTTTCAAAGAACGATACCTATCGGGAAACTTCCACAACCATGGTTCGCCTTAAAGATCGCTATCTGTTGGTCAACATTGTCTACACAGATCTCCCCACTGGACAAAAGGGCCCCGTACCCGATCTGTTACTTTATAACCAACCCACCATCGGGGAACTCAGGCCCCAAACCATCCTGAAGGGCATTCGCAGTCAGGTGAATGCGTTATTTGGTGATTGCGGGTCAGGCTCAGTCGAGCGCAGCCTACAAGGTAAACAAACACAACACCAGCACATACTGACTTACACTTGATGAAAGTGGCCACTAGGCTAACTTGGTTCAATAGTCAAGTACCTTTCTACTGCGACCTCAACCTTCATTCTGCGTATCTCACGAGCCCATTACAGGCTTGTTTGGGCCGCCTTGACTTTTATGGACCGCCTCCCAGTCAAGGACGGCAGACCGTGCGTCTTCCGCGTCGTCAGAGTTAGCGGCACCATCCGCAAAGTCGAAGAAGAAGCCATCCGCCGTGCCAAGCTTCTTGTCCTTGCCGCAAAGGACGAGATGGCTGGCAAGGCATCATCAGACGCCCTCAATGCTCTCTTCCGCGGCGACAAAGATTCAGTTCGCAATCTGGCCTTGGTCAATGATGACCATGATGACGCAGAGATGGATGAGGGTGAGGTCTCTGATGGATGAATAGCCATGCTATTCAATCATCATGTCTTCTGCTTACGCGTTACCCGAATACCCGAGCCACTGGTGAACTGTGGCGCCACACCAGGTACCGAGCCGCCACCGAGACCTGCTTCTTCAGCGGCACGGGCCTGCTCTGCCCGAAGTTTCTCCTGTTCTTCCTCCTCCTTCCGCTCCATCTCGTCATACTCTTCTTTGTTATCGATCCACCTCTCCTGGATATCTAGGGCATCGGGCAATGACGACTCGTTGCGCATGGCTACCTGCCAGACGGTATCGTTCGTGCCCTCAGCGCCGCCAAACACGTACCCACTTGCTCGATCAATCACCCGCAACAGATGCATCATACTCTTCTTGTTCTCGACTGCCAGCACCTCGAAGCTGACGAGGCCGAACTGTTCGACCATATTCGCAACGGCCTCGTTAAGCTTGGTGAACTTGCCTTTCTTGAGGGCAGGCGACTCCGCGTCGAGTGACGGCATGAGGTACCGTAGGTCTTGTACTTCGGTATAGTATTCGAGATTGAATGGAAGAGGGTCGTACGACGAGATTTTGTCTATCTTGGTCAGGACGTTGATGTGGGGAAGGTCCATCTGCAACATGGCGCGCAAGGAGAGGAGGACGTTGGAGATGAAGAGCGATGGTTGTGTGAGGCAGAAGCAATCGGAAAGGTGGACAACGACCAGCTACAAGCCAGTTAGCGAAAGGACTGCGATTCGGAGGGAGGAGGACACTGGCGCACCCTGTAGCCCAGCTTTTGTAACCGGTAAAAGATGTTGCGCAACGAGTTGTGGTGGGTGTAAAGCTCGACCTGACCGGGGCAGTCGAAAAGCACATAGTCTTCTCCAAGCTCTTTGAGGCCGTTCTCGAGCCATTCCATATTGTTTTCCAGCTCTTCAAGCGCATAAAGAATACCGCCATTGGGACCTAACTTATCGTCCGCCATGATCTCCTCTAACGTGACAAGGTCGCGAATGTCGAGCGCGCATGGGTAGTTGGTGTGGTCGTTCGCAGGGTCGAGGTTGACAACCGAACATTGTCGCCCGATGGCGCCCATAAACTGTTGCACTTGCAGTTGAGAGTTTATGTTAGCACCCGTGGAAGTACTGCCATGGAGAAGGAAACCGGGGCGCAAACTTACTGCCATCGCAGTATGTGCTCTTTCCTGCACCGGGACTGCCGAGTACTAATTGTCCAAACGGCATTGTTACTTGCTGCTCCGAGGTGGTGAGACTATATCGCGTGACGCTCTTGTTGGTTCTCGTGGGTATGAAAGGCGCAAACTTTGGATGTCCGAGGAAGAAGCTGTTCGAGAGACGGGAATGCTTTCAGCAATGGAACCCCACCCCCAAATTGTCGGGCTGGGTCTTGAGATGACGGAACGGCGCCCACCCCTCCACCAAATTCTAGAATGCCTTGTGGATCTGCGGCAAGATGGACAGGGGTCTGGTGCTTAACCCGGCATCTGCAACCCACTCCACCCGTCAACTTCCAATCAGGTTTCCGACCCAGCTCGGGAAGGGACCATGAATCAGGCGGTGACTCGTGGCAGAACTTTGTTTACTTGGGCAAGGTCGACGTCGCTGGAGTCGCACTCCCGGTCAAGCTCCCCTCTGCCAATTCCCCATTTCGTCGTCCCGATTGCCAACAGCTTCGAAGTTGCGTCAACACCACGTCGGGTTCAATTCAAACACCACACACCATATCCATCACAATGGCTCCTTGTAAGCTTAGAATATCTCTTTAGAACCCACTACCATTTATGTCCTCCGTGGCTAACATCACGTCCGTCGATTCTAGCAACACAATTCGAAGTTTCGCAGCCACCCAGTGACGTTATCTCAGCCGTGGTCTTCGCCCCCGATAACACCAACCGCCTTCTCGTCTCTTCATGGGATAGGAACGTCTACCTTTACGAGATCGCCGAAGGCACCGAAGATGCCACCCTAGTTAACAAGTTCGAGCACCGTGCTCCCATCCTTGATGTCTGCTTTGGCGCGAACGGAAACGAGGCCTACACGGCGGGTCTGGACTGCTCAGTCAAGAGGTTCGTTGCACACACAGCTTACTCAACCAAGGGCATCCATCATTCTGCTGCAGAGTTCCGTGGATGCTAATTCGAATCAACAGAATCGACCTATCCACAGGAGAGCAGACCGTCCTGAGCACACATGAGAAACCCGTCCGATGCGTCGTCTACAGCCCCCAGCACTGTAAGTCCGATCCATCATAGTCCAACCATAAGCCCAAGGAATACACTCGATAAAATTCTGAGACTCGCGCGTTCCTCGACTAACCCTGCATTCTCTTCTTACAGCCATGCTCATCTCCGCCTCCTGGGACCACACTCTCCATGTCCACAACACCTCCGCGCCGAACTCGACCCCAATCACCATCTCGCTCCCGGGCAAACCGCACGCCCTGGCTGCCAGCCCCTCCAAAGTCGTCGTAGCCATGACCGCGCGACTAGTACACATCTACGACCTTCCCACGCTCGCCTCGGCGCTCGCGTCGCCCGACCCCGCCTCCGTGACCATCGCCCCCTGGCAACAGCGCGAGTCCTCGCTCAAGTTCCTCACGCGCGCCGTGGCCTGCATGCCCAACGACGCCGGCTACGCCACCAGCTCGATCGAGGGCCGCGTGGCGGTCGAGTGGTTCGAGGACACGGCCGAGTCGCAGGCGCGCAAGTACGCCTTCAAGTGCCACCGGCAGACGGCGCCCGAGGAGGAGGGCGGCGGTGACGTGGTCTACCCCGTCAACGCACTGACGTTCCACCCCGTGTACGGCACGTTCGCTTCGGGCGGCGGCGACGGCACCGTGGCGCTGTGGGACGCCGAGGCCAAGCGCAGGATGAGACAGTATCAGAAGTTCCCCGACAGCGTCGCGGCGCTGGCGTTCTCGAATAACGGCAAGTATCTTGCCATTGTCGTGTGCCGCGGGTTTGAGACGGATATGGAGGATTTCAACAGCGCGGGGAGGACGAAGGTGTTTATCAGGGAGTTGGGTGAGACGGAGGCCAAGGGCAAGGGACCCAAGTGATTAAGTTCACTTGTCTTTCTGCTTCCTGTCCTTTCTCTCTTCGCTTGCTGTCTCGTGTGACATCTTTTCGGGTATAATCTAGGTGCAATCGGCGTTTTATATGATATGGGACAAAGGGCGGGCGGGGGTCATTATGTGGCATTGCTATTTGCGGAAACGTCGTCGAAAAAAAGTTAGATCGACATTGCGAGTTTTGGTAATTGACCGGGTCATGCATGATCAAGACAAATCAGATGAATAGAAATACGGATGATCAAAGACCTGAAATGGTTGTATGGTAGTTAACTGACTAGAGAGTCACTTTAAAAGTCAGGGTGCCGTTGGTACAGATAACCTGTCGGTGCATGAAGAAATAAGGTCGAAATCCCACCTCAACTCATGCGCACTGGTATGTCAACACAATTCCTACCTGATACATGTCTTTGACCTCGCCCTTAGAACTTCCTGACAAACAACCACATCCCAAACCTAACATTATCACCATTCACCGAAATCAAACAGTATCCTCAATACAGCTACAAAGGCCTCACTCCTTCCTTATCCCCTATTATCTTACTAAACCGCAGAATTCGACCTCCTAAGCCCCGAAGTCCCGGGCCCGCGAGAAGTCGAAGGAACCGAAGGCACCGCTGATTTGGCTCTCGAATTCAAAGGCCTTGGAGGAGTGGGAGTGTGAATGTCAGTCTCCGAGACGTACGTCTCCCAGCCTGACCCTGGGGAAGTCTCTTCACTCGGCGGCGCATCTTGAATTTTCTCATGATCTTGATCTTGATCTTCATGGCTCCCCTGACTCTGATGATGGTGTGACTCCCCGGGACTGTCATCATGGGAGGTAAGTTTGGGGGGCTCTGTTGTTGTATGAATCGAATGCTTCTCGAGTCCACGTTGAGACGGCTCGAAACTGGACTTGGACTTAACACTGTCGCTGGCGCTGGCGCTCTCTTTGATGGTGACTGGCCTTGGATGGGATTCTCCTGTTTGGACATGGTTGGCCGGTTGTGCTTGCTCTTCTACAAGCTTTTTGACAGTCCTTTCAGAAGGGTTTTCAAGAGGCTGTTCGAGAAGCTCTTTGGGAGACTTCTCGGCAGGCTGATCGAGAGCTTCTTCCACAACAGGTCCTTTGACAGGCTCTGTGACAGGCTGTTCAACAGCTTCTTCGCTAAGCACTTCAACTGTATCTTCTTGATGGTCTCCAGGAGTAGCCTTTTGCTGTTGGCATTCCTCTTGATGATTGAAAGCAGAGTGTGCGACCACCTCCTTTCTAGCCGGAGACTCACCCAGCTCAACGGATGGCTCTCGAGCAATAGGCTCTTCGAAGTCGATGTTGCCTTCCTCGTTGTCGTCTTGATATGGAGGCATATCAACTTCTTTCAATCCACTTTCTCCTTCGTTCTGTGTCTGTTTTTGTTGTTGGGAGAGCGCAACAGCAGCGGCGTGTGGTCGTCTCTCTGCCAACTTTGCGTATTCTCCCAGGATAGCACTTGTCAGAATAATCTTTGGAGTCGATGCGGTTGTAGGCGGCAGCATTTCTTTGTCCTCCAAGGGGTTGTCCTTCTTCTTCAACAGTTTGTGTCTCTTCCTCTGACGTTCGACTCGCTTGGGGTCAGGGAGAAATGAGTTGTCGTAGACTCTCTTCTTCGTCACCTTCTTATTCTGATTTGCGGTGGGATCTTTCTTGGGAGACCTTGTGAAACTGTACTGTGTCAAATCCAAAGCACCCACTTTTGATTCAACTTGTGGTGCTTTCCTCTTGGCCGTCGGACGCAAGCCCAACTGAACCAGCCCATTTGGTTTTGCTTCGTCTTTGGAGAACCCGTCGCCGAGTTTGTACTTGGCGGACAAAGTTGATGTGTTGCTGTCTTCAGCTTTGGGCTTCAGTCTCTTGAACCCGCGCGGCGGTAGCTTGTCAAAGAGCAAGAATGGGCGGCGTCTCAGGCGATTCGACTGATCTGTGACAGTCTTGGAGATATACTTGGTGCTACTGCTGGACTTCACCGATGAAGGAGGAGTAGACTTGGATTCTTCAGGGGTTGTTCGTTCGTTTTCGTCTTCGTCGGTGCTATACTCCAAGCTGGCAACCTCTTCCGTCGCATAGTCGTCCGGGCTTTGGGAAGTATCCGAGGCATATTGTGGCTCTGGTACTCGTGCATTCTATGGTTAGTTTTTGGATCTTCGCCAGGTTATGGCCGCCATATGTAGGAAAACGTACCAAATTCAAGCTCATGCGCATCCTCGAAGTCGTACTCAGCTTGGTAAGCAATAGTCTCTTCTTCAGGGATTGAACCATTGTCCTGGCGGTTTTTGTCCTGGGGCTCGGGTTCACGTTGATGCTTCCTAGCAAGGCTCGCCGGTAAGTCTCTGGTCCTTAACAACGGAAGCACGCTGGCCGAGGCAGTCCTCGCTTTGTGGGAATATGTACGCAAAGGGCGAGGTCTAGCATAATCTTCAAAGGGAACCTGGGGCTCCATCTGTTGTATATAGTTCCAGCAGATGAGTTTGTCTGGTTCGTCAAATCACAAGTAATGTTCAACTACGAGAAAAACCCGGTCGGCAAAGAATCCATGCCAACGATTTTGCTTCCCATTGCAATTTGTGGGAGCTCCGTCCGGGCTCGGGTCAGGCAGTTTACTGTTGAAAACATGGGAAGGTACGTTGGGTGGTTTGAAGCAATCGCGGAAAGAACGATCCTGCAGTTAAGAGCATAGACCGGCCGACCATTTCCCGCAACCAGGTGCTCCAGGCACCATTGAGATTTAGTCAACAATTCACTGGAAGAAGAAAAAAAGACATACATCTTTACACGTGGGTTGGTGACGCCAGAAAATCAGTTCGTAGCGAGTTTCCCAACGCGGGCAGATGGTATTTATCCTAAAATCGTGATATCGTAAAAAAAAAGTGATCAAGTCCATAGACACACTCTTGTCTTTGTGCCTGGGGTTACCATATGAAGACCAGATTACTGAATATTAATGTTGCAGCTTGGTTCTCGACTGTATGCCCCCAATTTTGCTGCCCTGAACATCATCGTTTTCATATTGGGCATCATGAAAAACTTGACAGGATGGCATGCACTGGTTAGTTTTCACAAAGTAGTGGTCCATCTTCCTCATTTCAGTTTGCAACAATGACGATTTTGCATTGGATTGATACTGTCTGCTTGGCTTCCCTTATTAGAAGTACAAAGTCCCAGAGAACTGAATATCAATAACCGTACAAGAAAACCTGGTTATTTCTAGTAATCCTCCAACCTCCCAGTTATTATTACCACGTGCCAGAGCTGTAAAGATTCCCCATCCCATGAAAAAGTTTCGGTTAGTAATTGAGCATCCGCCATATGCTTTGGCATAGCCAGTTGATGCAACATCTTCCGTATCGATCATGTGCTCAGACCTATCGTCAGAAGCAACTTAATGATGGCCACAGATTAGCGATGCCGAGCTGTTGAGCCCTCCAAAAAAACATCAGCCGTATCGTATACTCAAACAAAGGAAAGCCATATCAAAGACAGGAATATCGAGGCAAAGCCCTCGTAGCCAACTACGGCTTCTCCTTCTTGATGGTGGGCGATGACTGGGTGCTGCCGTTCGCAACCGTACCAGACTCGACGATCGTGACGCCCTCGTCCGCTGATCCGTCATCCGAAGTGGACGCGCCGGTGGTCAGGTTACCCGGCCTGCAGAGAAGACGGTTAGTTGTCACGGCGACCTGAAGTCATCTTCCAGCTTCCAAAAACACGAATGCCGGGGTTCTCGCTTGAGAGTGACGCCTGAGCTCCCAGGGAGATAGTGCAGGAGGATGCTTTCGGGGTGCTGCTGGTGGAGCTGTACCTGACCGCATGGCTTCCACCCTGAGACATGGTAGAATCCATTCCACTGTCGCTGTTGACGTTGATGCGGATACGGGCGCCGGAAGCAAATGAACTGTGCCCAGAGTTAGTCAGATTTGGCTCTCGTTAGACGTTCAGGGTGAAGGGTGACTCACGTATCAGATGAGTGGCCGGCGCTAATGCGACGGTTCCACGGGGCCTGGTGGGTGTAGATGCTGGGATGAATGCCGACATCCGCAGTTCCGTAGGCGCCAATGTTGTACTCGTTGGTGCGGAACTGGCGGCGCTCAGCCGTGATGCGCTTGAGTTCCTTCTGCGCCGGAGTGTCGGCGTAGCGAACCTGCATCAGCATACCCTCCTCTCCAATCGGGGCGCCGTGGAATTTCTTGATGACATCCTCGCATTCATCACGGGTCTCGAAACTGCATTGCATGTTAGAAGCGACTCTGGTGTCACAGGATAGCTTCAATCGATGATGAAACTTACCGAGCAAAACCGACACCGCGGCTGTTACCCATGCTATCTCTGAGAATCTTGCTGGAGACAATGTGATAGCCAACAAAGATAGCATTCAGCTCCTGAAACAATGTTAGATTCTGTATGAACGGACAACGAGACAACACAAAGGAGTTACTCACCGCCTCAGTCAGACGCTTGGGCAAGTTGGACAGATAAAGGTTGGTGGAGCTCTCATCTCCCTCTGCCTTGAGACGGGCGTTAAAGCTCTCGCGAGCAAAGCCAACCTCATAGCCCAGGTGGTAGAAGCCACGGATGCACTTCTCCGAATCACGAACGTTGGCAAACTTGGCGAAGCCGAAGCTAGAGGTTTGGTCAGTACATGGATGGAAGACTGAACGGTCAGACAATGGGACACAACATACCCTTTGCAAGCTCCAGTAGACGTGTCGATGATCGCCTTGCTCTGCTCAACCTTGCCGAAGCGGGAAGCATAACGAAGCAGCAACTCATCGTCAGTGGTGGGATGAAGGCCACGGATGTAGACGTTGCGATTGCCCTGGATGCGGTTCTCCAAGCACTGCTCGATGGACTTGGTGTGAGTGGGCGGGGTGAACACAGCAGGAACCGCGTCAGGGATGAGAGGGCTCTCCTTGAGCAGGGCCAGCAGCTCCTCGTCGACAACAGGAGCGGATTTGGCAACGCCGCCAGATGCAATAACCTGCTCCGGGGAGGGAGTGTTGAAGCTGGAGCGGATCACAGCAACCCGACCATTACCACCACGGTCCGAGAAAGTGCCAAAGAAAGGGGTAGCAGGGGTGGACTCGTTGGTGGAGTACGAGCCCCTACGGTTCTCGAGCCCAGGAGCCTCGCTGCTGCGCTCACCGTACGAGGCGACACGGCCAGGCGTGTAAGGCACAGAATGGTAAGGAATAGGCAGGGGAGCATATCCAGCCTGAACAGGATACTGTCCGGCAACGCCGATCTGATAGGCCGCCTCGGGGGGCACGCCGACGTGCATGGGGACAGGGTACTGGTAGGCAACTTGCTGATCCTGCATGTAGTACTGGTGACCAGCCTGGCTCTGAGGGACGGTCGGGTTGCCGGGACCAGACGGCAGAGCGAGGCTGCTGAATTGGTTCATCACAGCGTTCATGTTGTCAGGGCCATGGTTGGCCTGATGACCATGAGGGGCAGCGCCGTCATGCTGGGCAGCATTGCCAGCTTGAGTGGTGAGGTAGGCTTGATAGCCTCCCTGGCGGTTGTTGCCGTCCGACATGATAGCGGTATTGGTGCGATAATGGGACATCTTTGAGAGTACAGCCTGGGTATGCCACAGTTAGCTCCATGCCCTAAGTTCCACTCAGTCACGCCAAAGAAGTAGAAACGGCGAGTGTAGAAGGTGAGCGCAGAGAAGGCCAACCCCGCATTGGTCGCGCGACCGCAAGCCCTTAGGATATGAGCTGGACACTCGCCGATTATCCATCCTGAGGGCAGCGATGACTTTAAACCAAGTGATGAATGTGCTTGACAGGTGGGAAGGATGCTCAGGAGACAGGTGACCATTGCTTCGGCGCACTCTCGCTGAGCAAAACATGACCAGAGGAAGCGAGTAAGGTGACGCGCTTGAATCCCTTGGACATCCCGAGAGAACAAATGAGGGCAATTGGACGGGTGAAGGTGACTCAAAGGGCGCGACGTGATGGAGGAACAGAGTGAGGGATGGAGGGGAAGTTATCACGAACCATTGTGTCTTGATTGACTGCTTGCCGACGCGTCGCTGAGGATGAGATGTGATAGTGTGGATGCTTTAGAATATGAAAAGAAGAGGTGCTTGATACTCAATGGAGCTCAATGCATATCTGTGAAGATGATAGAGAACCAATTCAAGTGATATTTGGTGGTAACCCGTGAGATTTTTGATTTTTGTGATCAAGTGGGGGTTTGTGTGTGGGAGGAGGAAAAGGGGAGGAGGAGAAGAGGGCAAAGGTTCAGTTAAAAGGGACGGAGGGGGACCGAGACTTCGGCAGAAGACCGGAGTGATTGGCCGGGAAACGCAGGCAAACACCTTCCATCCTGAGGCCACAATGAACCCGCAGGCAGAGCATGCTGACGTCGAACGTCGACTTACCTCCAAAACGAGATGTGGTTCTTGTAACAAACGGCTGATTGGTTCGGGCTTGGAGAGATGCTTTGGTGACAAGAAAGCGGCGGCCGGCAACGATGGAGGATGTAAGTACCAAAGACTCGGATGCAAGCGAGCGCAGGGGGATTAAGAAGATGAACCGAGCTATCAAGCAAGATGAATTGAAGAGACTGTGGTGGTCGCTGGGATGGATTGTGTGTTGATGCTGTAATGATCGGAGGAAGAGTCTACCAAGAGTTGAGAGACAGGAGAGTCGAGTCGGACTGGATGGCGGAGGGAGGGAGGTCTTTTAAGTCCCGTCGATCGTCGTCTGGTATCTAAGATGGAGTGAAGGATCAGTGTCGTTGAGGTTGCTTCCTCACGATGTAAACAATGTCGAGGGCAGCCACGATGTAGACTGGCCAAGGAAGGAGGCGATGTTCCCCTGAAGCCTGCACCAAGACCCACGATACCAGCCAGGAGAGCTGAGGATGAGGATAATGATAAACAAGGAAGAACTCTCGTATGCTAAGTTCCAGCTTGCCGCATGAAAAGGAATATTGAACGGAGGAGAAGCAGGAGGAGAAGAAGGAGAAGAAGGAGATGTCGGACCATGCTAGTACTCGAGATTGCACTCGCAGCAGGAACTCGGATCATCGACAGGACAGAGAACTACTCGGACTGTCGATGCTGAAATTGGAGCTCAAAAGAGGAAGGAGAGACCTCCATGTTCATACTACAGATAAGGCCAAGCAATCCTGAATCCGACATTATGTTCCATAAGTTGACAGGAAGGGAGCAGAACAATTTGATTCTTTGCAAAAATTGGGGAAGACGTGACTGAGCCAAATGCACTTTACTGGTGCCGTGGGCTGGATGGAAAGGCAGTGACGCTGGTGGCATCCACTTTGGAGGCTAGGGGAGTAATGACACAGCTTCAACTTGAAGCAATCGCTATGTGAAGGTTGTTGCTCGTGATGCAGGTGTGGATCTTGGCTTGGTGTTTCCTCCTTGCTCTTGCCGTCCATGTGACAGAGTCCGCCTTCTGGCCAATTAGGTGGTCGGGGATTCGAGATGCCAGGAGCCCCAGATACGCAATCGATTTGTAGGGAAAGAGCCGCAGTGTGTAATGTAAAATATCTACCAAGTGAATGCAGTAAGAACAGACTGAAGGCAGTGCCACCCATTCCACTTGGATTTCAGGTACGGTCTGCCAGCACTTGCTGGAGTAAGTGCACTTTAACAGTCTACCTCTACAATTGACAGCCGAACTCGGAGTGTCTCCAGGATTCCTTCTCGTCGCGGATCGGATTCGTGATTCCAGGCAACCAGACATGGAAGGAGGCCGGGCAAGGCTGGCACTCGGTCCCGGGTGATCCACCTTCACCAATTGCACCCAGGGGCATTGAACCTTCTCGTCCACGGGTAGAGTTCCTGCACAACTGTTAGTGACGATTTTCTTTGACAGCGGGAGGAGGATGAGTTCAATGAGACAAGGAAGCGCAACACAACTCCCAAGATGATAGGACGATTGCAGCTGACACGATACAATTAAACAGATCGCCTTCTTCCTACCTAGTCAATTGACCAAACGGTTTCTTTCCGGTTGTATTGTCCGACAACGCGTCCCTGTTCGACCAGCGAAGGAACGAGCCCGACCGACGCATATCGCAACAACCCTACACGCGTTAGCTTCCCTTCCCAACAGTCAACACAGCTTCCGACATCACTCACCTGCGACCGGTCACTGCCGAAGTATCGTCCGCCGACATCACCCAAGATTTCAAGCTCGACAACCGGTACCAGCCACAAGGGAGAGGACTGATCGTGACTGTCCCCAGACTTCATCGACAGCAACTCGGAAGGACGTGTAGGAGAGGATGGACATAAGGAAATGCCTTCCGCTATTCATACGACTTGCCGACTGCAGAAGTCTTCGTCAACGGAGGTGACCCTGTCGTTCTCTTTCCTCTTGATGGACAGTGTCGTACGCTTCCATTGTACTGCCCCCTTCTTGGCTTCCACCACGGAGCTCGACTGCAAGACATGCGCTTCCTTCCACGCCGTGTCGTTATCATGGTAATGGTTGTGGGCAACAAAAGAGCTTGTGGACAATACCTTCCGTTTTGCTTGTCCTGGTGGCTTTGTTTGGCGACATGCTATGAGAAAGCCCAGAAGTCTGAGGTAAGTATTCATGTGTCGTTCTTCGAGTTCATCGTGGGCAAACAGATTCTTTGTGGCTCCTTGAAGTCTTGAACCCAACTTGAATATTAAACCCTGGAGATCCGGGTGGGATGGGCCAGGAGGACAGTCGATGGCAAAGAGAAAGGTGTCGTCGCCTTTGACCACGATAAGCTTACCTGCATCTTTCTCAAGGGTTGTCTACTTGAAGATTCACCTACCCACTTGGGCCACTTGACGGTGATCACTTGACGCATCCTCCATGGAAGATCATGACAAAGACCGACTGACTGACTCTTACTGGAATCAGAGTAGCAAGTACCGACGGCTTATTACTCTGCCACTGATAAAAGTACGTGTATAAATGTGTTTCTAGTCGACGAGAACTACTCGCGCAGAACATGAAAGCAAGAGCCGACGTTCAAACAGCGCCTGGACCCAGGCACACCCCCCAGTCGAGGCTCAACCAAGCCAACCCATGAACCTCCGATCCTCCAAAGCCCCTGTACCTTGTCGCTCACCCTAGGCGATGCGGAGATCCCCACAGCCAGATCCGAGACCGAGACGTCGGGAAGTTGAAGCCAGTCAGCGTCAGGACGGCCGACGACGTATGTTGTGTGGTCGCATCTGCGGGTGTTGAACGTCGGTCGACATCGAGAGAATAAGAAAGAAAGGACGGGCGAGATACAACGAGAAGACAGAAGAAATCCAGAAAGACACTCAAAGAGGGGTACTAATTTGTGAGAGAAGAAAAAGTGGTGGAAGAAAAAAAAAGAGCAGTGGACAAAAACAAAACAACGGGCTGCCGTGGCTGCGAGGTCGCAATATCGGCAATAAAACAGTGGCCCGCCCTCGGACCAATCAGAGCCCTCCGCTTTCCAGTCCGCAGCACAGCAAACGGCGAACACCACACAACTTCCACTTCCCACGGCCACAATATTAGAAAAAAATGGTCGTGTTTGCGAGAAGGTAGCACAAGCTCTCGAAAGCTTGGGTCCTTATTGGATGGCACGATGCCCTAAGGAGGTGTTTTGTGTTTCAAAAGGCTGAAGATTGAAGGAAGGCACATGAAAATGGTGGCGTCGGAGTACCGCAGTGACATCGGACGAATAACCACCGAAGTTACACACGGCGAGGCTTGCAAAAGATGACGAAATTAGTGGGATGATATTGTCTTGCCAAAAAGATGACGCCCAGGGAAATACCCCACTACCGTAATAGAAACGCCCGTTCAGACGCGAAACTTGAGGGCGCGAGGCGCTTCTAGCCCAGACGAGTAGAAGTTCTTCATGTTTCTAATCCTAGACTAACTAACCGTTCTGACATGAGGGAAGGGACACGCCCCTCGTTCGACGTTACATGGTATCCGGTGGGTGTGTTGTTGGGGCAGTCTGTGGCCCAGTATGTTTTACCATAGTCAGGATGTTCCTTATGAATATGCGCTTGTTGTTGTTGGGTATTTACTATAGGATCTGAAACTGTATCATTGGAAATTAAATCCCGACTATCCAATAAAAAGGGTCAAAAAAGGATGTGTATAATGTTTTTCCCACCCCACGCCTTCCAACCTTTTCTATCCGCTTTCGCTCTTTATTTATTGGCATCTACTACAATAGCGTATATAGTTTATGACCAGACATCCTCCTGTAAAGCAGACAGCAGGTTAGCACTGTGTTCCCCTTGACGCGAACGGCAGTCTGGGAAGCGTAGGGGCATAGTGAGAAGATCACGGCGTAAGAACGTACCTGGTACTGGTTCGACGACCTCATGTTCTTGACAATCTCCTCGGCCTTGGCCTCGGGAACGCCTCTCTGCTCGGAAATGATCTGGCCGAGGACGGTGTTGACCTCGCGCGCCATGTTGGCGGCGTCGCCGCAGACGTAGAAGTAGGCCTTTTGCTCGAGAAGCTGGTTGATCTCCTCGGCTCTTTCCTTGAGACGGTGCTGGACGTAGACCTTCTTGGGGCCCTCGCGGGAGAAGGCGGTGATGAGCTCGAAGTTGTCGCCGAGGATTTCCTTGGCTTCCTGTATTTTTCGAGGTTTGTTAGCATCATTAAAGTGTGATGGTGGGGGGGTTATGGGATGCGCGCGTAACTTACCTCCCATTCGTTCTTGTACATGAAATCCTCGGTAGACTTGCGGCAGCCAAAGAAGAGCAGAGTCTTGCCAACCTTCTCGCCGTTCTTGGCCTGCTGGACGCGCTCGCGGATGAAACCACGCATGGGAGCAACACCGGTACCGGGACCAATGCAGATGATGGGCTTGGAGGGATCCGAGGGAAGCTTGAAGTTGGAGTGGCGGACATGGACAGGGACGTGGATGCCGTCGTACTTGTTGCGGGGGCCAGTGATTTCGTAGGAAAGACCGAAGGGGCAGGGTTCAGGATCGCCGTTCTGCTTCTGCTTGAGCGCGAGGAGGTAGTTGGTAGCGACACCGCGGAAGGGGTCATCACGACCGGGAAGCTGGGTACTTTCGACGACGGCAGTGATGGAGATCTTCTTGGGCTGTTCAAGGGACGAGGACGAGATGGAGTAGTAGCGGGGCTGAAGCTTGGTGACACCCTCAATGAAAGCAGAGAAGGGGATGTTGGTCCACTTCTGGCCCTTGCCGACGATATCCAAAACTCTGGCGATGTTGAGATGGTGCACGCTGATCTTCTCTTGGAAGTAATCCTTTTCGGCGCCGAGCTTGGTCATTTCGGCCTTAGCCTCCGCATCGGGAGCAAAAGCAGCGAGCTGAGCGAGGAACTGACGAGAGACGGGAGCGCAGATTTCCATGTGGTAGCGAACGATAGTGTCGTAGGTGGTGGGAGTCGGGAAGGGAACCTTGGCGGTGGGCTCGACAGCCTTGACGCTGACAACAGTGTGGCGCTTTTCGGAGAGACCCAAGACGTTCATGAAGCGATCAACCTCCTCACCAGGGTTCGTAGGCCAAACAGCGATGTGGTCACCAGTCTGGTAGTTGAGGTTAGAGGCGCTGATATCGATATCCATGTGGAGGCAGTTGCGGTCCTTAACGGAGAAGAGCTCATAGGACTGGGCGATGGGAGCAATGTACGGGTTGTGGGCGTTGAAGGGACCCTTGGCGGTTCCGTCGAGATGCATCTTGTTGGGTTCACCGAGATAGACTTCAGGAGACTCCTTGGTAAGGCTCTCCCTTTCAACAATGCTGAAGACGGGCTCGTAAACGGCCTCGCGCTCCTCCAAGCCCATCTTCTCAGCGAGAGCCTTCCACATGGGTTCCTTCCAGGCCAAGAAATCTTCTTCCATGGTACCAGCGCCATCGTCACCCTCGCCAGCATCGCCAATACGGTGGGCACCCAGCTTCTGGAGCGCCTTGTCCACATTGCGAACCATGGAGTTGTAGTGCTCATAGGTGTTGTTTCCGAGACCGAAGGTGACATAGCTCAGGTTGCCAAGCGCAGGTTCGTTGCCCTCAGTGAAGTTGACGTCCTCGTTGGTGATGAACTCGTAGAAGTCCACGGCGTTATCAGTAGGCTCACCCTCACCATAGGTGGCGAGCACGAAGAACACCACCTTATCGTCGGGGATAGTATCAAGGTTGTCGAAGTCGTATTCCTCAAGGTCAGCAACCATGGTCTCAAGGCCGAAACGGCTCTTGCCCTCCTTGGCGAGTCTCGAAGCGTAATCCTCAGCAGTACCGGTTTGAGAGCCATAGAAGATGATGCAGTTCTTGCCCTGCTCCTCCATCTTCTCCACGATGTTTCTTGTCTTGCCAGCCTTTGCGCCGCTGGCATTCGCCAGGGAGCTTGCATAAGGATCCTTTGTAACGCCCCATAGTTTGCCCTTTGTGAAGTAGGCGACCGTTCCGAGGAGGATGGCCGCTAGGACCACGAGGTCCAGCGTGTCGAGTTCGGCCATGACGGCGATATAGACAGGGGACGATATGCGCGTAGTACTGTAGCGGGCACGACCGGTATACGCTTACAAGCTATCGGATATGGAGATGTCTAGAGGTAGGAATACCGGACCGGGCCGGTAACGCACTCGGCTCGCTTGGCTGCTTCTGGCAGGGGGGAGCCAAAAGAAGCTGCCTGCGAGGGCGGGAAATGTTAGCCCGGTGAACAACTAAAACGGCTCTTTGAACCAGATGACAGATGCTCGCGCAAGATTGACATGTGGTCTGTGATCGGCGCGCCGTATGCATGGGAGCTCAGGCCAGATGGCAAGATCAGACCACGGCTGCTTCGCATACGGCTTCTGTCGGGCAGTTAAGACGACGTGCGTACCTGGGACGAACCGCGCAGGGAAATGGCAGAAGCGACGGGACCAGAAGCTCAAAGAGACAAGCAAAAGGAAAGAATGTCGGCTGGTGGTCGAAAAGAAGACAGGAAAGGGGGTAAAAGATGAGATGGCAGCGGTCTATCACCCTATAAAAGAGGAAGGATTGGTAGAGGTAGCGAAGATAAACTGGAAACTGTTAATGACACATGGCTGTGGACGCGGCCGGGGCCCAGGGGGATCCAATCCCGTCATTCAGCGCTAAATTCCCGATGACCGGGCCCCTCCCGTGGTCCCCACTTTGACATTGGGACCAGCGGGCACACCTCCGTACATTCACAGGCCAGGTGCTGACGGGACTCGGCAGCCTTCATTCCCGACCTCATTCACCTGTGCAGTCTTGGCGGAAGGGGGGGGATTGTGCACACAACAACTTTTTACGAGACGAACAAGACTTCATTTGCTTGCACCTCTACCAAATGAGGAAATGCAGAAAAACTGACATAGAATTCGAAATCGTTGCACTTGAAACTATCAGCGTGACAGTCTTTTTAATAACTTACTTGAGTTCGTTGGTTTTCTTTCGTTTCGAAGGTCCAAATGACAAAAAGTTGTTGTGTGCACAATTCCCCCCCTTCCGCCAAGACTGCACAGGTGAATAAGTCCGGGAACAGTTCGCCGAACAACACGGGGAAGGACAACTGGCCATGGTGTAGAAAATGATCTCTAGGCACTCTGCGGGTGCGCTGTCAATCTTGGATGATGCTCTCATTTTATATTTCAGCCATTCACTGTCTCAAAAAAGGTATCCATTCTCGCTCCTCGAGGTTCGAAAACCCCCCTTCATTGACACCAGCGGCCGCCCTGAGCATCAATACGGTTACAGGTGGCCCAGGGTGTACATTCCCAAAACTACGATGCTTTCACATGACCAGCAGATGTACTTGCTCGGGAAGCCAGAGAGATGAAGTCCCATGGAAGTCTTGAGATTCGAAAAGCTAGCCAGTCACCCATCGTTCGATACAGATCTTTTACAGAAGTCGAAGTATGAGCGAGCGAGGCCAATACCGGCCGGGGTGTGTCCGACAGCCGAAGCATTTCGCGGAACCCAGATCCCTCTGTCACCCTCGATATGACATCAACAACGGGCTCGAAACATGTCAGCACCGAGACCATCTTCATGGAATCCAGTTTGTTGTTGGGCTACAAGGAGACAAGAGCGCTGTGGTAGAGAGCATCTCTTCCCGTGAAGCCCTCCCGAACTCCCGTTTAGGTAAGTTCCCATCGTACCCCACATAGAGTCTGCATAAAGTTATGAACACCTGGCGGAACGGGGTTCACACGATGCAAAGATGCACTTTTTTGCACTGAAAACACAGTCTCTGGCTCTGAACAAGTATGTTTCTCTTCAACCGATCCTACCTATCCACCCGTTCCGCTTCCGACTCCTTGGACTCGCCGGGAAGTGGTTTGCCGCGCCGGCTCGTCAACATTCAGCCGATTCGGCGCCCAAGCCCTGATCGGTAGTCGAGCACGAGGCCGGGGAGATTCTATTGATTCGGGCCCCGGACTCTTTTTGGGGTGAGCGCTTGAGGATTCGAACAAGACCGTTCGTAAAAGTTGGTGGTTGCCAAACATTACTTTTCTCTCGCTGTCGACCTTCTTCTGCGGCCCGGCCTTTTACGGGCAGGTCCCCAGAGATCCTATCGGCTCCTTGCATCTCCTCACTCCCACAGAGGCTCAGAGGCTCAGAGGTGACCGGCAGTTGCCTTTACACCGAAGACATTGGATTCTATTCGCCCACGCTTTCCATCTCTTGTCTCGTATGGTGTGAAAGTCGGCCCTACAGTGGGGTTACGTCCGCTTGACACCCGCGGCCGCCTCGCCGCGGGAGGAAGCGTACCTCTAGCTCTCCGGCGCTACCACAGGTATGTTTTATGGCTTTCGTGTCCTCAGGGCATCAAATCTGGAAACGATGACACGATTCCACATACTACTACACAGCAAATACGAGTATGGAGTTGGGCAGACTTGGAATTATTTTTAAGGTATCTTTATCAAGTTGTCGTTACCAAAGTCAGCACAACTGACGGGATCAACACCCCCCGTCCCCAGTCCCGGCACTTGCACCCCACGTTTTGCAGCGGGGTTCTGCCTCAAAGTACATAGGGGCGAGCTCTAGGTACCTTTATACATGACTGCATGCCTTGAGTTCGGCATAAACAGCTCACATCTGCGGGGAAAACTCTTGTCAGGCCAGCAGGGTTCGTTGCAAATGTACAGAACCGCTCTCGTGATGGTCATTCCTAAAGGCGTGGTGTTCATCCCTTCTCGACTTTAAAAAGGGGTAACAAAAAGACCCTTGACCCCAACGACACGAGATATGGTCCGAGCGTCCTCTGATCAACACGGGCCTGTCTAGGGTTGAACATCTTTCGGCTCTTGAAGCCCGGACAGGAGTCCGTATACGCGGCGTTACAGGTATTGTTACAGGCATTGTTACAGGGCTCGAACCCTGACGATGCGGCATGCACTTTGTCCTGCCAGTTAAGCAGCGCATTCTCCCAGGTCATTGCAGGCCTGCCCGTGCAATTATCGATCACAAATTGCACACATCGGATACACATCCATCCGATGTGTGCACTGCTTGAGTGGCAGGGCGCCCGTTCGTCGCAGGGCAACCAGATCGTGGGACGGGAGCCAGGGAGCGAACGCGCTGCACGGGAGACGGGAGGGCTTCCACTTGCTGCTGCCACAGGCAACCTGGAATCCCGTCCTGGATAGGACTAGCCTGTTAATGAATCTAGCCGCGGACATCCATCAGACAAGCAGAGGCTGGGAACTTCCAGACTGCGTTGCTTGCTTCTAGTCACCTTCGCGCCGGCCAGTCGCGACGCCATCTTTTTTGTCCAACTTCCTCCAAATAATCAGTGCATATACAGACTCACCCGGAAAAAAAACCACTGCCGCTGCCGGTCTGCAAGGCAACGCGCGCGGATTCGACCCCGCCCTGAATGCGCTGAAGGAATATCATGACCTCGAGAGGCGAGACATTGGCAAAATGGGTGAGTCTTGTGATGGCGCTATTCGACTACCTACTTGTCTCCTCTCCTTCCTTCCTATGTAGAACTTCAGTCTTTGCTGCGCATTACCATGGCTCGAAACAAGCGACAACGGGGCGGATGATGGGGTAGTAGCTTCCAGTTCTCATCCCACTACGAGTGGCTCTGGGCGACACTGAAACCAGACCAGAAGGGTTCTCACAACTCGTGCGCGCGCAGCAAGAGGAATTGTCGATTTTGGCTCGGATTGCTGACTCGCAATTTGCGCCACAGCTCCGTCTCAGACGCTGCCTTCGGACCACGAGCCCTTGAACTTTTCGCCCCGAACCATTGCCCGGCTTGAAGAGGAGGATGAAAACACCGACTGGCAGAGAACACTGAGGCCGATTGCGCCCGATAGCCGAAGCATTGCCCATTCCCGCGAATCGTCTCTCGAAAAACTACAGTGGTCTGCCAGCAGTACTGTTCGCGCCCATGCGCCCCAGCGCCTTGTCGACCCCAAGTCATCCTCGTACGGCCACCACAGACAGACGTCCATTGTTCACGGCATTGGCATCCAGCATTCGAGAAATGGGAGTCTTGCGAGCAACCACTCGAGCCCTCTCAGTCCCCAGATGATCGCCGCCGCCGGCGCAGGCATTTCCCCCGATCGAGCGGATTTACATGGCTTCTCGCGCAAGGAAACCGACGGCTCTTCCATAGGCTCGAGGCCTCAGACGGCCCTTTCCGGAACGACGGCGGCATCGGTACCCGTGATCCCCGAACGAACGTCGTCTGCAAACGCTATGAACGATCCCGCTGGCCAAGGAGGACAAACGGGGACACATAGGAAGCCAGAAAGGATGGCCAGTGGGAGGTCTCGACGGGACCACCCCCACCACCATTCGCACTCGTCTCGACACAAGGATGACCCGAAGACGGTCGGTGATTACGCGCTGCATGTGCTCTTTACGTCCTTCATTGCCCAAGCGGAAGAGAAGTTGACGGAAATAACAAGCATTCCTCTCCACGAGCCGGAACCCCATGTCGAACAAATATGCGGGCCCGGTGTTGACGCGGCCTTCGACCAGTCCATTGTCGCTCTTGGTCATATTGCCAAGCAAAAGCCCAAGCCTTTGATAGACTCGATGATGTTATGGAGGAAAAGCAAAAGTGATGCTGCCAATGAGGCCCGCGAGGCCCGCGCGCAACTTCACCAAGCGCGGAGTCATCTCCCTGGCGGTACTTTGCAAAGGAGGAATACCGAGCCCGTTCAGTCCACCGGTCCTGCTAGTAATGGCCAGCCCGAAGTCCAGCATGCCGGACAAGCCGATATTGCGCAAACCGTCGCTGTGGCTGAGCGCCGGTCCACTGTTTCCATTTACATCCTTTGCCGTGTTCTCCTCGAGGTCTTTACTCAGAGCACACTTGCTTCCATCACCCCGGAGATGGAGGACAAGCTTGAGAAGATTATTTTCCAGCAGCTCAAAAGTACCGAGCCTGATTCATTGTTAATCTCACCGTTGAAACTTGCAAATTGGAACCTCTTTGCTCAACTGTTGGGTGCTATGAGCGAAATCAGCTTCACGAGTGTGGCCG